AGAGAGGCAGGCAGAGGGAGAGGGAGAAGCAGGCTCCCTGCCGAGCAGGGAGCCCGATGCGGGACTCGATCCCAGGACCCTGGGACCATGACCTGAGCCAAAGGCAGCTGCTTAACCGGCTGAGCCACCCAGGCGCCCTGTAATAGATTTCTATCCCTTCCTAAAAAGAACCTCGTATTTCAACTTCTCTAATAACCCTGGATTTGATGCTCACACGAAAATGACATTTTTTAGGACAAAGTGATAAAAAGCAAATTAGCTTTAAGATTTAGAGCCTGCTTTGGTTTATGAAATCTACCATAGTACAGGAGGATTAAGGAAATATCTTGCTTTTCAGTTTCTAGCTTAGGCCCTGACAGAGGACCAGTGACCTCAGAGAACCATTTCAGTAGAAGTCAAGAGAGGCAATACTGCTGTATCCTTCCCTCCCCCCATAATATCTCAGTTCTCTGTACCGTTGTACGTATTCCCCTTTTCTCTCTTATGTAATAGGTAAACATAGATTTTTAGTTTACATTAGTTATTATGTCTGTCCAAATAGTTTCTTTTGTGAAGCCAGATAGGCTTTACTTAGGGGCTTTCTCAAGTTTTATTTATTTACCTATTTATTTATTTATTTTTACCATTTCTCTTTGGAGGCAAACCTATGTGGCAATTTCAGAAGCTGCGTAGGAATATCAAGAGATAAAAGTTCCCTCTTCCTTCTCGTGCTCTCTGTCTCTCATTCTCTCTCTCTCAAATGAATAAATAAAATCTTTAAAAAAAAAAGTTTGTGGGTTTTTTTGAACCATATCTTTTTTTTCCTAGGAATTTTTCTGGCCTTGCAGCCAGTTTATTCTCAACTAAGTCATATATCTTTTTAAGATTTTATTTATTTATTAGAGAGAGAGAGAGAGAGAGAGAGCACATGAGGCGGGGAGGGTCAGAGGGAGAAGCAGACTCCCTACTGAGCAGGGAGCCTGATGTGGGACTCGATCCAGGGACTCCAGGATCCTGACCTGAGCCGAAGGCAGTCGCCTAACCAACTGAGCCACCCAGGCGCCCGACTAAGTCATATTTTTAAGTTAAGAGCTAAGACCTTAATATTAAAACCAAGGTTATAGCTATGTAGCAAACCAGTAACGTCTTTTCAGTTTACTTTCCTCAGTAACCCTTGTGTTCTTGTTTGGACAGTCCCGGCATCTTTGATACTTTCTCTTAGAGATGTTCTCTCACATTGGGAAAGGGGATAGATAAACTCAGGCAAATGGTCTCATGCTACTGGAGATGCTTTTTCTGTCCTTGTTGTTGATGTCATCATTATCATCATCATCACTCGACGCCTAGAATCTCCTACTCAGGAGAAAAAGTTTGGCTTTCTCAGCCAAGGGTAAATAACAGTAATTCCTTGGAGACAAGGAAAGACATGTATTACCAAATGATCTTTAGCAGTAATCTTATTCTGACCTTGGAAGCAATCATGATTAGAATATAGGTCACAGTCTTGAATGTACTTTAAATCAGGTGGTGCAGTTATGATAGTAATGATAATGGAGGGGGCAGTATTTGACCCACTAGTATTTGATTATTACTATTATTATTATTAAAGATTTTATTTATTTGACAGAGCGAGAGAGCACAAGCAGGGGGAGCAGTAGAAGAGAGGGAAAAGCAGGCTCCCGGCTGAGCAGGGAGCCAATGTGGGGCTCGATCCCAGGACCCTGGGATCATGACCTGAGCCAAAGGCAGATGCTTAACCAACTGAGCCACCCAGGCGCCCCAGTATTTGATTATTATTGCAAATCTAGTAATCCAATGGAGATTTCATTGTCAATTTTTTTTAAGATTATTTATTTATTTGGGGCGCTTCCTGCTTGAACATATTTTAGCCTAAGCAAAGATTTTATTTTAAAGTTTGCTCAAGGTCAGGGGCATAAAATAACAGAGGCACATTTCACATTAATTACGATTCTTTGTGGGGGGAAGATTTCCTCTCTTTGATATTCATGTTTCTCTTTTTCTTCTGTTAGTACTGCTTGCCCTCAACACCACCACCAAAAAGCATTTGAGAAGCAATTCCAAATAAATTAATATTATAAAGTGCTTTGAGCCTAGGGAGAACTGAATATGAGTATGGTGTATTATAGGTAACTATGCAAATTTAGGGTATTATGAACCCGATATAGATATAAACACTAAAAGCCTGATTAGAACATAAGGATTTAAAATATCCATGAGGAATGGATCCATGTTCCAGCCAACTTGGTATTTGCCTCTAACAGAAGTACCTTAAAAATGTAGCAGAGTCTGCTTGCCTGTCCTGCTATCAGTAGTAAAAGATAAGGGATGCTTGTTCCAAATCTTGGGTTTCCTTGACCATAATGTATCTATTGTTCATTCACTTAAACTTTAAAAAAATTTTTTTTTAAAGATTTTATTTATTTGAGAGAGAGAAAATGAGAGATAGAGAGCACGAGAGGGAAGAGGGTTAGAGGGAGAAGCAGACTCCCTGCTGAGCCTGTGGGACTCGATCCCGGGACTCCAGGATCATGACCTGAGCCGAAGGCAGTCATGTAACCAACTGAGCCACCCAGGCGCCCAAACTTTTAAAAAATTTGTAAGCAACTTAGGACTAAATCCCTATTAGTATGGTAACAAATTTCAGTTTTTACTGGTAATTAGTATTTTTACATGATCATTAGTATTTCATTTTATTTTTCTAAGTTTACAGTAATGTTCAAGCTCCTACAGGGATTTTGCAGTTCTCATATTCTACAGTGTTTTGAATCATCTATGTTAAACTTATTTATACTTTCATGATTTGATAAAGTTTTATTATTTCGTCTTCATCATTTTTAAATAGAACTTAGATTTTATTAGCCCTGTCTCATTACACAGGTTACTTAAGAGGCATACACTGTGTTCTCCAGTATCAGTATGATAAAAACATTCTACTATAACAAAGTACCTTTTTTCAAAACCTTCAACAAGTTTATTTTGGCCTCTCATTATTCATGAAAGATAGGTAAAAACAGTTATATATGTTCTTATTCTATGGCAGAGAGGAATTCCTTTAGTTAGTTTGTTTTGTTTTTACTCTATTGAGTTAATTGCTGTTAAAGTTTGGACTCATTCTTTCCAAGGAGCTAGAATCTTCCTCACTCTCCACTATCTAAATGTATAAGCTTCTGACCTTCTATTCCTTCCGTCTCTCTGCAGCCCTATGTGTCATTGTCTCAGCAGATGGCACCACCTAGTCCAAGCAACAGTACCCCGAACAGCAGCAGTGGGAGCAATGGAAATGACCAGTTGAGCAAAACCAACCTCTATATCCGGGGATTGCAACCAGGCACTACTGACCAGGATCTTGTCAAATTGTGCCAGTCGTAAGTTGGGGAACATGTGGGTAGGCTTCGAGGGCCAGTATGGATTTGGTGATACTGGCTTCTTGCCAGATACTCGTGTCCTGAAATGCAGTCCAGTTTGTCACAAGATTTCTTAGCAGCCCCTCTTAAAGAAATTCTACCTGCTACTAATATATAAAACCTTTGTATGTTTCTCTGAGGAAAGTCAGGATGGGGCTGGCCTTTGAAGCCTAATATGTGACTGTTTCCAGTGTGCTCCTAGAACTTATGGTCTTTGTGGAAAGATACCTGTCCTTACACCTCAAATAGCAGTGCTCAATGTCCTGGGATGCTTGAGTGGCTTAGTCACTTGAGCCTCTGCCTTTGGCTTGGGTCATGATCCCAGGGTCCTGGGATCGAGCCCTGCATCGGGCTCCCTGCTCAGCGGGGAGCCTGCTCCTCCCTCTGCCTGCCGTTCCCCCTGCCTGCTCTCTCTCTCTGACAAATAAATAAATAAAACCAAAAAATATAAAAATAAAAAGAAAGAAAGAAATGCTCAATGTCCCTAACAATACTGATTAGAAGGCAGTGGGAGCCGGCAGTAGGGATAGAAGAAAGTGGAACTAGCTAATCGAATTGTACACTGAGGAGAGTTTTTGCTGATGCAGATAATCCCAGTGACCCGGAGGAGCTCTCAAATTAGTGGATGAAGGAGAAGGTGGAGAAAGAGGCTGTCACTCTGCATCTACCCCCTACAGACCTTCTGGGGTTCTTCACAGTAGATTTGAGTCATGAGCTTGACATAACTACCATGGAATTAGCCCCTTTGGGAATGCTGGGAAAATTGCAAGAGTCCAAAGATGCCAGCTCAGTTCTGTTTGGCAGAAAAATATGGGTTTCAAATGATATATTTGGGGGAATAGTTAGAGGAAGAAGTCTGGGTGTGGGAAGGGGGAAAATTGTTTGGGTAAATGAATGGTAGAAAGAAATAGAAATATTAACCTTAGACTGTGTAATTACCATCTTTTAAAACTTTTTATTGATATGTAACATATAGAAAAGTGCACAAATCGTAAATATATACATAGCAGTGACTTCACAAAGTGAACATACCCTCGTAACAGTCCCTTGTGACCAGGTCAAGAAATAGAACATTACCAGCTCTTCTGAAGCCCGCCTCTCAGTTCCTGTCCCTCCTGCCCCCAACCAATCTACCGTTTGGATTCTAAATAATCAGTTGGTGTGGTTTGTTTGAACTTCATGTAAAGACAGTGCTAGAGCATACATGCCCTTCTATGTCTGGCTTCTTTGGCTCTTTTTGTTTGTTTGTTTGTTATTTGTAAGACTTCTCTATATTGTTGCACGTAGCAAAACTTTGTTTATTCTTATTGCTTTATAGAATTCCTTCATAGGAATATACCATAGTTTATTTACCCAGTCTACTGTTGCTGGACATTTGAATTGTTTCCAGTTTGTGACTATTATGAATATGAATAGTGCTGCCATGAACTTGTTCACGGCTTCTGGTGCATATGTGTACACATTTATGTTGGGTATATACCTAGGAGTAAAATTGCGGAGTCACGGGATGCACATATGTTCAGCTTTTGTAGATACTAAATGATTTTCTGAAGTGTTTAAACTAATCCAGACTCCCACAAGAGTATATGTAAATTCCAGCTGTTGCAAGTCCTGGAAAGGCAGAACATTCCGCCCCCAAAATGTAGTTGTAGAAGTCATCAGAGATATTTTATAAGTCCCTTATTCTTCTGAGGTTTGGTACATTTTTGCTAGCACTGGGCTGCATAAACTCAGTTTCCAAAGGCTAGGCATATGTGTAAAACTCACCTTGCTAGAAAAGTATTTAAGTGGAAGTGAGGGGACTTAGTCTAGGACTAGTAATTTTTGAGGGGAATGGGAATTGGCAGAAATGTTGATTTATGAAGGAAAAGACTATCATATCAGGCTAGTTCTTTGATTTCTGTACCCTGTGTTTCTTGTCCTAAATATAATGTGCTACAAAAATCCTCTCAGTCCACAAGACAGACAAAAACTCAGTTCTACTTCACCATACTTTTATTTATTTTTTAAGATTTTATTTATTTATTTGACCGAGAGAGACACAGTGAGAGAGGGAACACAAGCAGGGGGAGTGGGAGAGGGAGAAGCAGGCTTCCCGCAGAGCAGGGAACCCGATGCGGGGCTCGATCCCAGGACCCCGGGATCATGACCTGAGCCAAAGGCAGACACTTAACGACTGAGCCACCCAGGCGCCCCAACATCACTATGCTTTTAAACTTTCATTTTGCTCTTCCCAACAGTTGCCTTACCTTAGTGTCTGAAGGGATGAGAGTACTCAGGGTCATGATATGGGCTAGAACCAAGGGGCCTGATAGGGGACTATGGAGGAGTAGAAATGAGGCAGGGAAAGACTAGGTGCTAGATGAATTATGACAAAAAAGGAGGCTGAGAAGAGCAGATGGCTGGAGCCCTTATGGGTGCTGTGAGCTGGGAGTTAACTTTCTAGGAAGGGTGTTTGCCATGCCTAGAGGGACCTCCTGTTTTTGTCCCAATTGTGTCTCAGGTTGTAGGGGACGTGAATGTTGCTGGATGCCAACCCCTGCTGGGCAGGCAGGAGAGGCCTGGAGTTTGAGACTGGAACCCCTGACTGTCTGGAGGGGCTCCTTCCTCTTAGGAGGAAGCAGCAGCAGCCAGCTGTTGCCAGCTGCAGTGGAAGCTCTGGGCTCTAAGTCTCGGCCCACTCAGACCCTGGGGCCTTGCTAAGGATGGCGGCATATATGTCCTCCCACTGGTCTCAAGCATCCCTTCCCTTGCCTGCATCTGGGAAAGAATCCAAATAGGGCTAGGAGCGCCACATTCATCCCCACTGCCATTATAATGTGTTCTTTTCCCAACCTCCAGACCACTGCTTGGCTTATTCTGTCTAATCCATTGGGTGACAGAAGCCCCACCAAAAAAGTCAGTGACAGGCTGCCAAGGAGCAAAACAAATATATCAATCATCATAATGTTCTTTAGGGATGGGGGGGATCCCCCACAATACTTGTTTGGGGTATTGGCCTCGTGTTCAGTCCCTGCCAGCTGTTTTCAGTTAAATCCTGTACTTCTGATTCTGTTAGTGATTTCTGTCCTCCTGTATCTTTAATAATTTCACCTTCCTAGAGACTTCTTTCTGGTGGAACACTTCTAGTCTAGTGCTGCCCTGTGGTACTGCACTGCTCAAGTTCGGGAAACTCCACATGCCTCTGCTGCCAAAGTATAATTTTCAAAAAGTTGAAAAACATGACTCCTACAAAGATAGGTAAACACATGCTCAGGGTTTATTTCATTCATGAATAAGGGAACCAACAGGATGGTAAAATGGGTTCAAAGAGCGTTTGAGGGACTGAATGCGGGTCCCGAAGAAAGAGTGTTGGAATAAGATTGCTCGGTTCGAAACAAAACCGGTTCATATCCTATGGGACATTGTAAAACAGTAACCTTTGGGATTCTCTTCTCTACTGGACAGAAATTATTGGCATTGGCATGCTGGGTGGCTCAGTCGGTTGATCACGTGACTCTTGATTTTGGCGCAGGTCATGGTCTTGGGGTCATGGGATCAAGCCCCACGTTGGGCTCTGTGCTCACCATGGAGTCTGCTTGGCCCCTCTCCCTCTGCTACCCCCCCAAATAAATAAATAAAATCTTTTTTAAAAACTAAAAAAAAAAAATTTGCATTTCTACTGGACAAAATCTACAAGCTAATACGTATATCCGCAAGGTCTGGACTCTAATCGGTAGTAAATAGTAAGTCAAACAAAGAAACATCCCCCTAGATAATGAAATATATTTCAAATGGGCCTTTTAGACAGAGTTCCAGAACAACACCGAAAGGATATGCAGTCTTCATTTTGTCTTATTGTCACGTTTTGGGTAATTTTCCTAACACTGTTGTTGCACCTGGTCTTACACCCATTCATCTCCCTAACATGCTCGGGTCTTGACAGTGAGAAATAGAAGTCTTAGAATAAAGCAAAGCAGGAGAGAGAACGGCTTGCATTAAGGTTGAGGTTCCTTGAATATAATAATAATAATAGCAGTTAAGAACTTCCAAGTGTTTACCATGTGGTAGACATTAGTGCTTTATATTCATGAATCCATTGCATATTCCCAACAATCCGGTCTCCACGGATGATGAGACTGAGGCCCCAGAAGGTTAAATGACTTGTCCAAGGTGGCGGATAGCTACAAAGTGGCAGAACCAGGGTTTGAACAAATGCAGTTTGGTTCAGGTTAACCTTCGCCTGGGGTGGGGAGCAGGGTGTCAGAGAAGAGGAACGTCTATAGGTTTTTCCTAGGAGGAACGGTGTGTCTCCAAAAGAAGGTAAGTAATTATTAAGGATTATAGTTAGTCTGCAAGGAATCCAGCCAGAGCTCTGCCCGGACACACTCTGCTATGTGGACATCACCAAGCTGCTTTCCCAAAAGACAGTAGTCTCTTTCCAACTCATATCTGAGCCTTAGGTGGGGAAGAAGAGAGAAATGTGTTGATATTATAAAGACTACAGTTACCTTATTTCTTGTAGGCACCTTTGGAGAATGGGTTTGTATGATAAGCATGACATTTTAAATTCATTTCTTCTGGTTTTTATTAAGGTTTGAGTGGGAACAGCTGTGAAGAAAGGGCATAGATTCATCCAGACGTCTCAGTCTCTGTCCTGTTCCAGATTCCTGCCCCCACATTATCACTTTGCATTTTCTTTTCCCTCAGATATGGCAAGATTGTCTCCACCAAGGCCATCCTGGACAAGAGCACGAACAAGTGCAAAGGTGAGGGAGCAGCTGTCTTTGGTGACGGAGCGCGAGTGCATGAGGCCGCCCCTCGCCCCTGCTCTTCTCTGCGCTGCGCTCCTAGGACCCAGTGCGGGGAGGAGTCTCTTAAGGCTTTCAGGCTTAGAAGACTAGTAGACATTTAGATTGTTTGGTGACCAGGCAGCTAGAGCTGAGAATGCTATCCTGGGGACCCGAGGCTAGAAGCCTGCAGGGTGCCTGTGAGTCCCTTGAGCTTACTTTGCACTCCATGTTTCCATGAAGATTCCCTGGATCGGAGGGTGGGTATGGGTAGGTAAGCTTATTTCTACTTAGTAAAGCCTTGTAAAAGCTTGGGGTGGTGGCAGTGGCAGGGTGACCTGGTGGGTGTTCCTTTGTAAGGATGAATAGCTCTGTTGAGATTCCGAGCAGCTCTAGGTGGGGGGGAAGAGTGGCAGGGGGGAAAGGACCACCTGTTGGGGTAGGGTGGGCTTCTCGCAGGCGGCTGGCTCCCTGCAGTGGAGAGGCCCTATTCCCCACCTGCCTAGTGTTCCTGGGATGTGGCTACAAAACAGAAAAGAGTTCTGTTAGGGGCGGGGGCTGCGGACTGTTGAAAGAGCCTAGTTTCTGAAACCTCCGATTTCTCAGTGGGGATGGAAAAAGGCAAGAACACCATAAAGACTTCATTGCCCTTGGCATTCTTAGCTGTAAAATAGACCAAATCTCATGGGGTTTGAAGAGCACACGGATAACCACCTGAAACCTCTTAATTTCTCTCTCTCCCTGCCACTTCTGTTCCATGGATCATAACTCTTCCTCTGTCTCCTGAAAAGCCTGGGCCTCCCACCTCCCTTACACCCCCACCTCCCAGTGATGCTGTTTCCCTGTTCCAGGCTATGGCTTTGTGGACTTCGACAGTCCTTCAGCCGCACAGAAAGCTGTCACGGCACTGAAAGCCAGTGGTGTGCAGGCACAGATGGCAAAGGTAAGGCTTCTGCCCCGTGTCTGTTCCTCAGAGGGCTGGTGGTTAGCACCACAGGGTGAGTTCTAAGGCTTCCTTCCAGAGGGTTGAAGGCCATGAACCTGATGGGCAAGGGCTATTTGCAGCACTTTTTGACTATCTGACCAAAGACAGGCTGGGTCCCATGGAGTACCCCTTGGCTACTAGAGGAAGGTAGTCTTCAAAATCTGTGGCAGGTAGCTCTGGAGACTCTGTTCCTCTCATCAAGTATTATAATGTAATCAGGTGGGAGGGTCAAGAGGCTTCCCTTTCTCTTTGTTTCCCCATTTCCACCCTGGCCCCACTTCCCTACCAAGCAGCTTGTGGTAGTTTTGCAACATTCCCCGAAGCAGCGAGTTGTCAGCTCAGTTCAGAGCCTCAGTCAGAGCCTCGCTCTCTACCTCCCCATGCTGTTCTCCCTTGGTGCGTGTTTGGGGGTTAGGGGAGGTAGGGTAGGAGAGTTGCTAGGGGTGGGGGAGAGGGAAGCCACAGCAAGGAAGGAAACTGTCCCTCCTTGTCACATCTCCCTGGAGCTTTTATTTTAATCCAACTTACTAGAAAACTCGAGGCTTTTCTATCCCTTTTTTTCGGTGGGATTGCCCCCTTGCCTTCTTGAAGTCCTTGTGAATTCTCTGTAGAGCTGACGAGGCAGGCCTGCCGGTCCCCCTGCGCTGTCTGGTGGAAGAGAGACAAAGCCCTGAGGGGTTGAAGTTGCTGGTGACCCAGTGTCTAGGGCAGTGACTGCTTCAATTCTTAAAAATACAGCTCTGGGAAGTTACTGCCATTTTGCACCTTCTGCCCCCTGGAGGGGCTCTTCCACCTCCTCTTGCCAGAGAAGAGCCCTCTGACAACGGAGTTTAGGAGCTTTCAGAGTTCCTATGAGACTAGAGCTCTCTGGGCCGCATGGTGACCCAGTGACTCTCCATCAGGGACCTAGCGCAACCCCCAGCACATCGCCTTCCCTTTCCCCTTCTCCCCCTTCCTGCTCTCTCTCCACTGGGGAGTGAACAGGCATTCCTACTCCGGGGGTTCTGCGGTGGCCGGAAGAGGAGGGAGGGGACTTACTTAAAACAGCCAGCGGGGGAGCTCGTCCTGAGAATCCAGCCCGGCAATAGGCTGTTGGCCGCGAGGGAGGAGCGCTGCTCTGCCTTGTTCTTAAAGAGACAGCCAAAACGTCATCAGTGGGCTTGTAAAGTGCTAGAAATAGTAAGTCTGCCTTTTTTTTTTTTGGCTGGACTCAACGTACAATCCATGGGAGTGGGAGTAGGTGTTATAAATAGTTAAGATTCCCTTTGTTTATGTGGGCCCCTTCCTACTGTGTCTTTTCTGAGATGTCATTCTGTGATGAGGGCTGAGGGTGGGAAGGGATAAGAGATGTGAGCTTCATTTCCTCCCTTTTTTCCCATAGCAACAGGAACAGGACCCCACAAATTTATACATATCAAACCTTCCACTCTCCATGGATGAGCAAGAACTAGAGGGGATGCTGAAGCCTTTTGGCCAGGTTATCTCCACTCGAATCCTCCGAGACACCAGTGGGACCAGCAGAGGCGTTGGCTTTGCACGGTGAGGGATGCCAGGATGGGAGATGATGAGGTTCATGAAGAATGTCCCTTAGAAGGTCACCAAAAAAGTCTGTGCCCCCCTCCCTCAAGGGACCAGACTCTTGGCCTGAAGTACTTGACAGTGAATCAGAAGTTCATTTAAACTCTAGGTCACAGTACTTAAATACCCATTTGCCCTCAAAATCTTTATCCTTTCCCCACTATTTCTTGCTACTCTAGCATTTGTTCTTTTGATCCAGACCCAAGCAGAATAAAATAATTCTGTATGCTTTTATATAGATAATGAAACCGGAGTCTCCACTGTGAAGTGATTTGCCCAGGGTCCCCCAGCAGTGGGTGGTAGAACAGCACCCTAATCCTTCTGGCTTCAAGATCAGTGGGATGAAGTAGATGTGTTCTTCCTTTTCAGTTCTGTTGAGAGACTTAGATTCTGGAACCAACCCTGCCACTAACTGCCCCTGTGATATCAGACTTTTCTGAGCCTTGGTTTACTCTGTGAAGTGGAGAGTGATTTAGATGAGTGATTTTCTTCAGGTGTTCCCTAGAGCTGTGGTGTTCTCCAGGGTGCCCTCTTCTGAGCCTAGGTGTCACTGTAGAGCTTTGGCCTCTTCCAGCCCACTGAAGAAATGGTTCTGCTTTCATTTTAAGGTTTTGTTTGAGGGGCACCTAGGTGGCTCAGTCGTTGGGCGTCTGCTTTCGGCTCAGGTCATGATCCCAGGGTCCTGGGATTGAGCCCCTCATTGGGCTCCCTGCTCGGCGGGAAGCCTGCTTCTCCCTCTCCCACTCCCCCTGCTTGTGTTCCCTCTCTCACTCTCTCTCTCTCTCTCTCTGTCAAATAAATAAATAAAATCTTAAAAAAAAAAAAAAGATTTTGTTTGAAAGGAGACTCTGTTGCTTTTTCTGAAAGTTTGAAAACTATTGGAATACGTGATCTGAAGGTCCCATTTTGTTTTATAATACCTTGTCTGGTCCAGGAACACTCCCTTACTCTGGAGTGTTTATCCAGATCTTGGGAACAAGGAATAGGGCATCTTCCGTAGCCAACTCAATCTTGGTAGCACCACCTGCTGGCAATCCCAAGTATAACTAAAAGAGAGTTCTTAGGCTTGTGGTCATCAAACTGTTTTTGCTCCCACTTTTTTTAAATTTAAATTCAATTAATTAACATATATAATATTATTAGTTCCAGGGGTAGAGTTTAGTGTCTCAGTTGCATATAAAACCTAGTGCTCATTACATCATGTGCCCTCCCCCATCACCCAGTTGCCCCATCCCCCCCACCTCCCCTCCAGCAACCCTGTTTGTTTCCTATTGTTAAGAGTCTCTTATGGTTTGCTTCCCTCTCTGATTTCTTCTTGTATTTATTGTTCCCTCCCTTCCCCTGTGATCCTCTGTTTTGTTTCTTAAATTTCACATATGTGTGAAATCATATAATTGTCTTTCTCTGATTGGCTTATTTAACTTAGCATAATACCTTCTAGTTCCAACCACATCCTTGCAAATGGTAGGATTTCATTTTTTTGATGGCTGAGTAATATTCCATTGTATATATTTACCACATCTTCTTTATCCATTCATCTGTTGTTGGACATCTGGGCTCTTTCCACATTTTGGCTATTGTGGACATTGCTGCTATAAACATTGTGGTGCAGGTGTCCCTTCAGATCACTGTGTTTGGCTCCCACACTTTTTTTTTTTTTTTTAAGATTTTATTTATTTATCTGACAGAGAGAGAACACAAGCAGGGGGAGCAGCAGGGGCAGAGGGAGAAGCGGGCTCCCTGCTGAGCCAGGAGCCCAGTGCGGGGCTCGATCCCAGGACCCTGGGATCATGACCCGAGCTGAAGGCAGCCGCTTAACGACTGAGCCACCTAGGCGCCCCGCCTCCTGCACTCTTTTAAAGCAGAGGTTCTCAACTCTTTTCAGTTCATGGCACCTTAAGTTGTGTCAATAATTTTTTTTGCTCTAGACCAAAAGAAATACTTAAGGGGCACCTGGCTGACTCAGTCGGTAGAGCATGTGATTTTTGATCCTGGGTTGTGAGTTCGAATCCCACATTGGGAGTTGAATTTACTTTAAAAAATAAAAGAGGGGCGCCTGGGTGGCTCAGTTGGTTAAGCATCCAACTCTTGATTTTGGCTCCAGTCATGATCTCAGGGTCATGAGATCAAGCCCTGTGTTGGGCTCTGCATTCAGTGTAGAGTCTACTTGTCCCTCTCCCTCTGCTCCTCCCCCCACTTGCTTGCTTGCTCGCTCAAGCTCTAAGTAAATAAATGAATAAAATCTTAAAAAAAGAAGAAAGAAAAAGATTTTTATTCCATTCTTAAATAACTATACTTACTATACTTACTAGTGGAATGTGTACCTGTTGAACACAGCTTCTCAAACCTTGGAATCAGATTGGACACTTACACCCTCATTTCCTGTCACACATTGGTTTTCTTATGGTATTTGCTTTTGTCGTAGCAACCGTGGAAAAAACAGCTTTGCAGAAATACATTATTAAAAGGATCGTAGGGTGATCCAGTGTTGAAATGGTGACCTTTTAGAGTTAGTAGTCCACACAGTATCCAATAGATGTTGCTCTATTTTCTTAAGAAAGTTAAAAAAATCCCCTGCCTGTGCCTCTGTGAGCTCACCACAGTGGCACAGGGTGCCTCGGAGCCCAGTTTGGAAACTGTGGCTTTGAAGAGTTGAAAACCTGTGAAATCTCTTGCATGTTCCTATGCTACTACCTACATGTTTTCTTCATACATTTAGATCTTGTGAAATCTAATTTCCAGCAAATTACAAATATCGACATTTTAAATAAAACTATTGGGACGCCTGGGTGGCTCAGTCAGTTGGGTATCTGCCTTCAGCTGGGGTCGTGATCCCAGGGTTCTGGGATCGGGTCCTGCATCGGGCTCCCTGCTCTGCGGAAAGCCTGCTTCTCTCTCTCCCACTCCCCCTGCTTGTGTTCTCTCTCTCACTGTGTCTCTCTCTGTGTCAAATAAATAAATAAATAAAATCTTAAAAACCAACAAACTGTCATGTTATTTGTAAATATATCCAAATAGATCTAAATGTCATAGCAGTTTGATACACAAAATCATCCATTTAAAAAATACTTAGGACCAGGGACGCCTGGGTGGCTCAGTTGGTTAAGCATCTGCCTTCGGCTGGGTTCGGGATCCCAGCGTCCTGGGATCGTCCCACATCAGGCTCCCTGCTCAGGGGGTAGCCTGCTTCTCCCTCTGCCTGCTGCACCCCCCCTCTTGTATTCTCTCTCTGACAAATAAATAACTAAAATATTTAAATAAATAAAAATACTTTGGGGAGCCTGGGTGGCTCAGTCGTTAAGCGTCTGCCTTCGGCTCAGGTCATGATCCCAGGGTCCTGGGATCGAGCCCCGCATTGGGCTCCCTGCTCGGCAGAAAGTCTGCTTCTCCCTCTCCCGCTCCCCCTGCTTGTGTTCCCTCTCTCGCTATGTCTCTCTCTGTCAAATAAATAAATAAAATCTTTAAAACAAAAAAATTAAAAAAAAATACTTTAGGGCAGGGTGTCTGGGTGTCTCAGGAAGGTAAGCATCTGACTGTTGATCTCAGGGTGGTGAGTTCAAGCCCTGTGTAGGGCTCCAGCCTGGGGGTGGAGCCTACTTAAAAAAAATACTTAGGACATTTTTTTTAATAGTCATAATTCATATAATTTTTATTATAGTGTTCCTTTTTTGTTCTTGATCTTGTATTTCCATTTTATTTCCTTACAAAATTGTATTCAAGTATAGAATATTTTTATAGTTGAAAGTTTTTTTTATGGATCGTTCTGTCATACTTCTCTGCAACAAAAATACATATATACAATAAATGAGATCTTTTTCCTGTGGTTACGAGACTGTACACATAAAGTAAATTTTTTTTTTAAGATTTTATCCATTTATTTGACAGAAACATAGCGAGAAAGGGAACACAAGCAGGGGCAGAGGGAGAGGGAGAAGCAGGCTTCCCATAGAGCAGGGAGCAAGCCCAATGAGGGGCTCGATCCCAGGACCCTGGGATCATGACCTGAGCTGAAGGCAGATGCTTACCGACTGAGCCACCCAGGGATCCCACATAAAGTAAATTTTATTGGAAAAGCTTACTCCTATGACATGGATAATTTTATTTTGTTTAGGTTTTTCCAATTAGGTCATGTAGCCAACAATGACTATTGTTTATTGCTATAATGTCAATTCTGTTCCTGTTTTTTATTTTCATGCTGAGAACCTTGTTCACATAAGTAAATGGGAATAGGAAGAGTTTTGTTAAAATAGGAATTCTTTGAATTTCTTCTCAGTTATAAGCCAAGAACCAAGGTGATCGATCTGTCAAAACTGATTTTTTTTATGCGTCAGCAACCTGTTGAGTTGTCCAGCTTGCTGAAAGAATGAGAGACATCTGACTTAGAAAAAGACTTAAAAAGTCAGGCATCATTGCCTCATGTTGAGTTTGGGGATACGTGTGAAGGAAGGGCAGAGCAGGGGCTGTGAGAGGGCCCTGGACCATCAGTGAGCACGACCTGTCCTCCGGCAGACCAGTTTTAGGAAAAAGCTTACGAGGAAGGGGAGGTTCTGCGAGCAATTCTCTTAAAACTCCCCGGGCCTGCTCACGCTCTTGGAAGATTAAGGAGTAGAAGTTAACCCAACTAAAGACTGCTGCTCTGGGATACCTAGCTCATGGGTTTTCCCTAAAAGGTTCCATGTGAGGCCTCTTTTTTAGTGACCACCTTCATAAGACCGGTTCATATTTTCAGTGGTTATTGGCATAGAAAAGATAATGAGACTTAATTTAAATATGGAAGGAGGGAGGGGCGCCTGGGTGACACAGTCGGTTAACCGTCTGCCTTCGGCTCAGGTCATGATCCCGGTCCTGCTTAGCAGAGAGCCTGCTTCTCTCTATCCCTTCCCCTCTCCCCCCAGCTTGTGCTCACTCATGCACTCTTTTCTCTCAAGTAAATAAATCAAATCTCTAAAATAAATAAATAAGGAAAGGAGGGGAAGATACTGTACCTTGTGTCATATAGACCCTTACAATTTTTAGAACACATGTAAATACGTTATCTCATTTGATCTGTAGTAGCGTAGATGGATGTTATATCTAATGCAGAAATGAGGAATGGATCCAATGGGGTTTTGTGCAGGTCCTAACTCACAGAATTTTGGGTGACCTGGTGCAAGAATCTAGATTTTCTGATTCCTTACTCAGTTGTCTTTCCCCAACAAGATACTTTAACTCCGTAGTTCCCAACATTGTTGTTTCTATCACTGTAGACCATGAACTCTGTCTTACTATTCTTTCCTCCTCTAGTTTCAAGAAATCTTAATATTACCAGTAGCTGATTAGACCTTGATAATCATAACCAGAAGCAAAAAATAAACATTGGCAAGTTCTTAGTTTGTGCAGTTTTATTGGAGTGAGGGAACAATTTCCGTGAGGAATTTTGTAACAAAAAATAATGGTGACATGGGGCACCTTGGTGGCTCAGTGGGTAGAGCATATGACTCTTGATCTCACGGTCATGAGTTCAAGCCCTACATAGGGTGTAGAGCTTACTTAAAAAAAAAAAAAATGGTGATGATGATGATGATAGCCACTGTTTATTGTATTCTTGTTTCTTGTTTAAGAACCAGACCTAATAGTAGGCCCATCCATCAGTGTCTTTGGAATATTCATAGCTTCACTTTTCTTTTCAGGAGCCCTACAGGAGCCAGTTGAGGGAACGTTCATTAGAAACTAGGGTTGCCTCTTCAAGATACCTTGAATCTGTGTGGAGGAAACTGTGTTTCTATAGTCACAACTTTTGGAGTATTTGTGGGCTGGGAACTTAGAGCTTTCTCTTTGAATGTAGGGGGAGCGCAGATCCTGGAGAAGCTAGAGCCTAACCCCTCTTGTGCTCCTTAGGATGGAGTCCACAGAGAAGTGTGAAGCCATCATCACCCACTTTAATGGAAAATATATTAAGACACCTGCTGGAGTACCAGGTGAGGCATCTGGGAATCAGGCTGAGAGAGCCATAGGTTGTTACTTCCAGTGAAGATTCTGGAGGCATTTTGCATGAGTGTGAGTGGACTCAGTGAGGTGAGACTCAGCTGTGTCTTTCTTTCTTGGCAGCCCCATCTGATCCCTTGCTTTGCAAATTTGCTGATGGTGGTCCAAAGAAACGACAGAACCAAGGGAAATATATGCAAAATGGACGGGCCTGGCCAAGGAATGGAGATATGGTAAGAGGACCTCTGAGGAGACAGGAGTACTAAGGACATTAACGTGGAATCGAATTTACCAGGGCCTGATTCCTGTGAGTTTAAGTGGCAAGCTTCAGGGTTACAGTAACTGAGAGATGGCTGGCTGCTTAACATGATCTTCAGCGTGGGTCTTTAGTGGGATTTTGCAGCCTGCACAACCAGGAATACTCTGGAATGGCTGTAGTAGGACCTGTCCAGACTTCACTTCAATCTGTTGAATCAAATACGTCCCAGTCTTGACACTCTGGGCTTCCTCCTGTTCTCCCGCAAGGGCTTGCATTATGAACACTGTGTTCTTCCTTTGTAGGGTGGTATGGCCTTGACCTATGACCCCACCACAGCTCTTCAGAATGGGTAAGGGTGTTTTATAGAATTGGGCTACCCGAAAATGACAACGGCCTGTCCAGGCACTGGGATGTTTCATCTTGATTTCTGAACAGCAGCTAGTGGGAAGTGGCTGTGTCTGTCAGTGGGGCTCTTACCTGTGGTTTCCTGTGGCTCCTTACTGATGAGGTTCCTTCCTCCAGGTTTTACCCGGCTCCTTATAACATCACCCCCAACAGGATGCTTGCTCAGTCTGCACTCTCCCCATACCTTCCATCTCCTGTGTCTTCCTATCAGGTACGTTCATGCCCGAAAAAGTGGTGGGTGTGGTGGTTTTCCCTGTCACTGTGCTTTAGGTAAAGGAGCATAAGGCTGGAAACTCCTTATTTTTTAGTTTTTCCTTTATACATACTGCTCACAAATAATTTTACATGAAAGCATAACGTGTGATCACATGACACACAGACAGACTGTTGTGGTAGCGTCCTCTCACTGTGTCCACAGGTAAACCTTTATTACTATATTTTTAATTTCCTATTCCATATATTTCAGAAACTTCCAGATTTTTCTTCGTGTGCATATACGCATATGTGTACAGTTTTGGAAGTCATTGTCTATTTTACAAAAATCTGGCCAGATTAAATATATTTTTTACACTTCACTCTTCTCACTTAACAGTATCTTAAACCAGTGAGTCTCAAAGTTTGGTGCCTGGATGAGCAGTATCACCTGGGAATTTCAAAAAACATAAATTCGTGGATTCCACCCCAGATCTGCCGAAGTGGAAACTCTCGGGATGGGTCCCAGCAATCTGTTCTTTTGTTCACCATCTGTCACCATACAAAGTTGTTCTAGTATTACTGACTGTATTCCCTGTGCTGTGCTGTCCACCCCTGTGACTCACGTATCTTCCGCCTGCTACTCTGCACCCTTACCCCTCTCCTGTTTCCACTGTCCCGTGTCCCTACCCCCCCCAGCTGAATTTTTTAATAAGCCCTCGAGGTGATTCTGATGTAGCTAATGTTGAGACTTTTTGTTCTAATTATTTCTTTTTTAAACAGTTGCACTATATTTCATGCTGCAGAGAGACCAGAATTCTTCAACCCTACCTCCGTGAAGGGTATTCAATTGGATTTCAGGGGTTTTCTGGTACAAATAATACTTCCATCCACATATTACTCAATCTAGCAGTCCCATTCCTTGGACTCTAATCCCCAGAAACAAAACCATGCACATGTAAAGATCCTTATGCCTAAATTCTTAAATCTGAGTCCTGTTATTTCTGGGGGCTAGAGTCCAAGCAGTGGGCTTGCTAGGTTGGATAATATACGGATGTTGAGTTTTACAGATGTTGCCAGATTGCTTCCCACAAAGGCTGTGTCAGTTCACATTTCCACTAGCAATGTCTGAGTGACCATTTCCCTCCAGCCATAAGTGACATTGGTCTTTTTCAGTTTTTCTTATCTCTGTAGGTGTAAAGTGCATTGTTACTTTAATTTGCATTTCCCTGACTACAGTCAAGTTTAAACGTGTCTTTTTATGTTTGTCATATTTATTTATTTATTTTTATTTTTTTAAAGATTTTATTTATTTATTTGACAGAGAGACACAGCGAGAGAGGGAACACAAGCAGGGGGGAAGGGTAGAGGGAAAAGCAGGCTTCATGCCGAGCAAGGAGCCCTATGCGGGACTCGATCCCAGGACCCTGAGATCATGACCTGAGCCGAAGGCAGACTTTTAATGACTGAGCCAGCCAGGCGCCCCTGTTTGTCATATTTTGATTTGCTCTTCTCTGATTGCTCTTGATACGCTTGGCCCATCTTTCTGTTTGGTTATTCGTTTCCCATCAACTTACAAAAAGCATTTGCATTTTATTTATTTATTTATTTATTTTAAAGATTTTGTTTATTTATTTGACAGAGAGAGACACAGTGGGAGAGGGAACACAAGCAGGGGGAGTGGGAGAGGGAGAAGCAGGCTTCCCGCGGAGCAGGGAGCCCAATGCGGGGCTCGATCCCAGGACCCTGGGACCGTGACCTGAGCCGAAGGCAGCTGCTTAACAGACTGAGCCACCCAGGGGCTACCACATTTGCATATTATTAAAGTATCAATCCTCTGAATGTTATCTTTCTTACAAATATTTTTTTCCAGATTTAATTTTTGTCCTTTGACTTTGTGTTGTGGTCCTCAAGCTTGAGCTGTCTCTCAGAATCACTTGGAAAGCTTATCAAACCCAAATTACTGGGCACCACACAGAGAATTTCTGATTCAGTAAGACTAGGCTAGGAGGCAGGAATTTGCATTTCTGTTTCCAGATGCTGCCGCTGCCCCTGCTGCCTGTCCAGGGACCATACTTTGGGACTCACTCATTTGCACCACAAAAAACCGCAAAAGTTTAAAATTTGTGTACAGTTAAATATGTCTGCGTTTCCACTAAAGCTTTTGAATTTCTTAATTAAAAAGGTCTTCCCAGTCTCTATATTATACATATGATCTCCAAGATTTATTTTATTGTTTTACAGTAAAATTTAAATATGTAATCATCAGGAATTTATTTTTGTATGGGGCACCAGATAGGCATTTTATTTCATTCTTTCAGAGTGTTAACTGGTTGTCCTAGCACCAAATTATTAAATCATATTTGAATTAATGGATTATTAATACGGTGAATTAATTAAAAATTAAACAGTGGTGAGTTAAAATGCCACCTATAATAAATACTGGGGTTTGTTTCTGTGTCCTTGGTCCTCTTCCGGTGCTTACTGTGTCTGTCCTTACTCTGGTGATACATTGACTTGATCACAGTGGCTTTCAGAATGTCTTCTAATATTTTTTAAAAATATTTTATTTATTTTTTTGAGAGAGACAGAGCACGAGAGGGGAGAGGGTCAGAGGGAGAAGCAGACTCCCTGCTGAGCAGGGAGCCCGATGCGGGGCTCGATCCCAGGACCCTGAGATCACGACCTGAGCCCAAGGCAGTTGCTTAACCAACTGAGCCACCCAGGCGCCCCGGCATTTACTCTTCTGTATAAAGTTTATATCTAATTTTTGGAAATCTGACGATTTTAACTGGAATTTCATTAAATTTATGTATTAGTTTAAGAGAACTGACCTTCTTTTGAAAATTGACCTTTTTTTAGAGATTTATTTCTTTTAGTTGGGGGTGCAGAGGGAGAGAGAGAAATAGAATCTCAAGCAGACTCCACGCTAAGTATGGTAACCCCACGACCCTGAGATCATGACCTGAGCTGAAACCAAGAGTCGGATGCTCAATCGACTGAGCCACCCAGGTGCCCTGGGAATTGACTTTTTAAGAACTATTCTTTTTGGGGTGCGTGGGTGGCTCAGTCGGTTAAGCATCTGTCTTCGGCTCAGGTCATGATCCCAGGGTCCTGGGTTCGAGCCCCACATCAAGCCCCACATCAAGCAGGGAGCCTGCTTCTCCCTCTGCCCCTCCCCCTGCTCGTGCTTTCTCTTTTTTTTTTTTTAAAGATTTTATTTATTTATTTGAGAGAGAGAATGGTAGAGAGAGAGCACGAGAAGGAAGAGGGTCAGAGGGAGAAGCAGACACCCTGCTGAGCAGGGAGCCCGATGCGGGACTCGATCCCGGAACTCCGGGATCATGACCTGAGCCGAAGGCAGTCACTTAACCAACTGAGCCACCCAGGCACCCCGTGCTTTCTCTTAATCTCTCTCTCTCTCTCTCCCTCTCTCAAATAAATAAAATTTTTTTTAAAAAAGTATTCTTTTCACCCAAGATGTAGTATTTCTTTTCATGTTTTTAAATCTTTTTTTATGCCCTTCAATAATGGGCACCTGGGTGGCTCAGTTGGTTAAGCGACTGCCTTTAGCTCAGGTCATGATCCTGGAGTCCCAGGATCGAGTCCCACCTCGGGCTCCCTGCTCAGCGGGGAGTCTGCTTCTCCCTCTGACCTTTCCCCCTCTCCTGCTCTCTCTCTCTCATTCTCTCTCTCAAATAAATAAATAAAATCTTAAAAAAAAAAAACAACTATGCCCTTCAATAAGATGTTAGTGTTGTTTATATAGATCTTATGCTTTTCCTGTTGAATATATTCCTAAGTGTTCTATAATTTTATAAGCATTTCTAGATGCTATGGATACACTGAAGAAAAACTGTTGGTTTATGTTCATGTATCTTGTGTGCAGCTAATGTACTAAATCCTTATTACTACTAGCTTTTTTTTTTACTGTCTCTTAAGTGTTCTAGGTATATAGTTGTATCATCAGTGCAAAAATCATAGTTTTCTCTTCCTTTCCAATTTTATGCCACTTGTGTTCTTATCTAATTGTATTTGTTTGACCCTACTGTAAGATATTGTAATTATTATAAATGCAGTGGTTTTAATATTTCTTTGTTTAGGTTAATGTTAACAGCTAGGTTTTGGTACTAGCCTATAATATGTAAATAGTTTTTTTCTAGACTCTATTTTACTGTTTTGGGGTTTTTTTATTGTTATGTTAATCACCATACATCATTAGTTCTTGATGCAGTGTTCCATGATTCATTGTTTGTGCATAACACCCAGTGCTCCACGCAGAATGTGCCCTCCTTAATACCCATCACCAGGCTAACCCATCCCCCCACCCTCCTCCCCTCTAGAACCCTCAGTTTGTTTTTCAGAGTCCATCGTCTCTCATGGTTCGTCTCCCCCTCCGACTTACTCCCCTTCATTCTTCCCCTCCTGCTATCTTCTTCTTTTTCTTTTTTCTTAACATATGTTGCATTATTTGTTTCAGAAGTACAGATCTGTGATTCAACAGTCTTGCACAATTTACAGTGCTCACCATAGCACATACCCTACCCAATGTCTGTCACCCAGCCACCCCATCCCTCCCACCCCCCACCAGTCCAGCAACACTCAGTTTGTTTCCAGAGATTAAGAATTCCTCATGTCAGTGTTTTTTGGGTTTTTTTAATAAATTGCTGCTGGATTTTATCAAATGTCTTTTTGTCATCTCATATTACACTATGGCTTTTTCCTTCGATTTTGACTTATGTTTAGAGTCTGATCTTGAACAATCTTTACATTTATGAAATAAACCTACTTGTTTATTGTGATACATTTCTAGCTTCTCATTGCTCTTTTTATTTTTTTTATTTTTTTCATTTTAAAATTGAGATAATTCAGGGGTGCCTGGGTGGCTCAGTTGGTTAAGCCTCATGATCTTTGGCTTAAGTCATGATCCTGAGGTCCTGGGATGAAGCCCCGCATCGGGCTCCCTGCTCAGCAGTCTGCTTCTCCCTCTCCCTCTCTCTCTGCTGCTCCCCCTGCTTGTGCTCTCTCTCTCTGTGTCAAATAAATACATAAAATCTAAAATAAATAAATAAATAAAATTGAGATAAGTCACATACCATAAAATTCACCTACTTAAAGTATACAAGTCAGTAGTTTCAAGTATATTTTGCAAAGTTATGCAGCTATCAGCATCATCTAATTCCAGAACATTTTTTTTTACCCCAGAAAGAAGCTCTGTAATCGGTAGCGGTTATTGCCCATTCTCCCTCACCCACGCCCCCTGGCAGCCACTGAGATACTGTCTATGGAGAGAGGTCCGCCTCCTCTGGATACTTTGTATAAATGGAAGCATGCAGTATATGTCTTTGGGGCCAGGCTTCTTTCACTCAGCATTCTTTCAAGGTCTATCCATGTCGTAGCACATAGCAGTACTTCATTCTTTTTTATGACTGAGTCAGTCCGCTGCCATTGTATGACTATACCCGTTTGTTCTCCACTTAGTAGTTGATGGCCTTTGGGTTGTTTCTGCCTTTTGGCTATTAGAATAATGCTCCTTTGAATATTTGTGTACAATTTTTGTGTCAAGACATGTTTTAATTTCTCTTGGGTATACACCCCCAGTGGACTTGCTGGGTTACATAGGAACTCTATGTTTAACTTTCTGAGGAAATGGCAAACTGTTTTCCAGAGCTGCTGCACCATTTTACATTCCCGCCCACAGTGTATGACACTTGTTATTCTTTTTTTTTTTTTTTTTAATTTTATGTATTTGTCATAGAGAGGGCGAGCACAAGCAGGGGGAATGGCAGACAGAGGGAGAAGCAGGCTCCCCACTGAGCAAGGAGCCTGATGCGGGACTTGATCCCAGCACCCTGGGATCATGATCTGAGCTGAAAGCAGATGCTTAACCGACTGAGCCTCCCAGGCGCCCCCTCCCTTTTTAAGATGTATTTATGAGAGAGAGGGGGAGAGAGTTGGTGGGGAGGGGGAGGCAGAGGGAGAGAATCTCCAGCGGACCCCCTGCTGAGCGAGGAGCCTGATGCAGGGCTGGATCCCAGGACCCTGCGTGACCTGAGCCGAAATCAAGAGTCAGACACTTAACCTGCTGAGCCACCCGGGTGCCCCTACTCTCTCCTTTTAATTACAGCCATCCTGGTGGGTGTGAAGTGGCATCTCATCACGATTTTGATTTGCATTTCCCTGGTGACTAATGATGTTGAGCCTCTCTCGTGTGCTTATTGGCCATTTGTATATCTTCTTAGAGAAGTATTTATTCCTATCTTTTGCCCATTTTTGAATTGGGTTATTTGTTGACGTGTGCAAGTTTTTAATAGTTTTTAAAGAGTTTATTCTTAATGTTTCTATTTTGTGAGGGGGCACTCCAACTTTTTTGGGGTTTTGCTGAACATTATCAGATCACTGGGAGAAACAGTAGTTTCTAGGCAATTAATGTTTTTGTCTATTTCTTTTGTTTGCCTTAGAGAGTAACTCAGACATCTCCTCTACAAGTACCTAACCCGTCTTGGATGCACCACCAGTCATACCTCATGCAGCCTTCAGTGAGTGTTCAGAAGTGGGCAAAAGCTAAAGAGACAGTTTGATGTAAAGAAAAACAATGGGATCTGATGATAGACGATGTGGGTGTGAGTTCTGGCTTAGTCCCTTGTGCAGCGCAGCTATATGACCTGAAATTTTGTTAGTTTGTTATTCTCAAGCGGAGGGTCCCTCCACAGTGATGGGCAGAGCACCTGTTTCTGTTGCGTAGCTGGGTTGCTACTCACCTATCATTTCCCAGGATTTTTAAATGTCTGTCCTCAGCGGTCCTGGTAGGCGTGAATCACTGCGGCTTAGTTGCATGCTGCCAGCTAACCCTGTCCTTTGTTGCTGCCTCCAGGGTTCCGTTCTGCCGCCAGGGATGGATCACCCCATTTCTCTCCAGCCTGCCTCCATGATGGGACCTCTTACCCAGCAACTGGGGCACCTCTCGCTCAGCAGCACGGGCACGGTAAAGCCAAGCGGGGTATTTCTGATTTCAGACTCTGACTGAGCAAGGGGTACCTATGCAATGCGCTTCAGTGTAAATGCTTGTGAATGAGGGTGTCAGTCACTTCAGTGTCACTGAAGGCATGCTCAGACTCAGAAGAGGAGATAAACAGAACAGAGCCATGCCGCTCCCCAGCTCACTCCTTTTAACCGAGTCCTACTCTCGAAACTAAATAGTGCTTCTGTCTACACAGCAGTTTACCCAGGAGCTCACACACATTTCCCAGAAATCTTTCCCAACGTGGTGACCAGAAGAACGGGTGAAGCTCAGCAGGTTTCTTGCGGGTCCGCTGCACTGTGGTGCGCAGGCCGGAGGAGGAAGGGAAGCCCCAGGGGCGGACGTCTCTCTAAGCCTGTGTGCTTAGCAGCCCCTGGAGCGCTCTGGAGAAGGGACAATTAAATTCCACTCTCTGGGGATGAAACCTAGGCATCAGTCGTTTTTAGAGCTCCCCGGCTGCTTTAAATGTCGCCAGGAGTCCCCTCCCTGCCCTGAGCCTGTGGATGGCTTTCATTCTAGTACGTGCCGGCGGCCGCCCCGGTGCCAGGAGCTTACATCGCCCCGTACACCCCTGTGCCTTCCGCTGGTGTTGCAGCCGAGGTAAGAGCTTTCTGGTCTCGCGGAATCGCGCGTAGGAAAACGCACAGAGGGAGATTTGTCCCCGATCAAGATCTTCCTCTAACGGGGCGCGTGGGTGGCTCAGTCGTTAAGTGTCTGCCTTCGGCTCAGGTCGTGATCCCAGCGTCCTGGGATCGAGCCCCGCGTCGGGCTCCCAGCTTAGCGGGAAGCCTGCCTCTCCCTCTGCCTGCTGCTCCCCCTGCTTGCGCTCTCTCAACATTTTAGAAAAAAATAAAAATAAAAAAATCTTCCTCTAACAGTGATGCTGATTCCGCGCGCGCGGTCAGCTGCTGGGCGTGTGAGTGAACGTAGGAAGGAAGGACCTCGTCCGTGTCCTTGAACGAGGCGCTCGTTGAGGCCGGCCCGTTACTGAGCCGCGTCTCCGCAAGAGGCTAGGGTGCGCGGTGTGTCGGGGAGGTGCTGCTGTGTGCGCGTGGGAGCGGGGAGGTGGGGCAGGACACCCCACTCTGGGTAGGCGGGGGGGCACAGGAGCACCGAGCTTGACTCTCCGGCCTCGGCTGCGGTGCAGGAGAGCGGCGGCCAGCAGACTCAGGTGCCAGTGGAGGCGCCCTCAGACCACGGGCTCTACTCCTTCCAGTTCAACAAGTAGCAGCGGTAAGCGCGCCCCCTCTGGTTTACGCCTCCACTAGGGTTCCCCTCCCCCTCTTTGCGGACGACAGGCATCCCTCTTTTTCTCGTGCTTTACTGAGCTTTGCAAATATTGCCTTTTTTTTTTCGTACAAATTGCAGGTTTGTGGCCACCCTACTTTCCCTGCTTTAAGCAAGTCTGTCAGTGCCACTGGCATTTACTCACTTTGTGTCTCTGTGTCACATTTGGGTAATTCTCAAAATAGATCAAATTTGGGGGCGCCTGGGTGGCTCAGTCGTTAAGCATCTGCCTTCAGCTCAGGTCATGATCCCGGGGTCCTGGGATCGAGCCCCGCATGGAGCCCCACATGGAGCCCCGCATGGAGCCTGGCATGGAGCCCCGCATCAGGCTCCCTGCTCAGAGGGAAGCCTGCTTCTCCCTCTCCCACTCCCCCCTGCTCCTGCTCTCTCTCTCTCTCAAATAAATACAATCTTAAAAAATATATGTCGTTTTTTATTGCATTTTTATGGTAATCTGTGATCAGTGACTGTAACTTGCTGAAAGCTCAGGTGATAGTTAACAGTTTTAACAATAAAGTATTTTTGAATTAAGGTCTGCCTGTTATTTTTTTAGACCTGCTATTGCACACCTAATATAACAGTATAGTGTAAACATACTTTTTGTATGTACTGGGAAACCAGAAATTTCATCTGACTTGCTCTGTTGTGGTATTTGCTTTATTGCAGTGGTCTGGAAGCGAACCCGCATTGTCTCTGAGGTGTGCCTGGACACCTGAATTATTGGAGAGGCTGATGCTCCCGAAGTCCAGAGGGCTGATGGGATACAGACGCGGCGTGGGCCCTGCTAAGGACTAACACTTGGGCAGCGCTTTCATAGGCCTGGGCCTGGAGAAAAGAAATCTCTGCACTTCTGCCCTCTGCTTCTTCCTCCATTCCTGGGAGGGCCTGGGAGAACTGTCACTTTTTGTGTGTGCTGCATTCAAGGAGATCAAAAGAACTTTTTTTTCTTTCTTTTGCAAAGAAAGTTTTATATTTTGTTTTTGACTGCAATATACTCTTTCCATATCTCAAAGAGACATAGTGCCTTGAGCTTCTTCTCATCTTTATGAAAAAGTTTTTGATGTGTTGGACTTATCTGGGGAGGCTTTAAAAAATTTTTGTTATTTCTTTAAAAAAAAAGGGAAAAAAGTGCAGTGATAGAACATTGATGAAGGAGTCCTACGGTGGGCCCTTATGTGGAGTTTAGTTATGGGCTTATTTTGGTGTGTGTGTGTGTAGGAGAATATACAGACTTTACAAATTTTGTTTTATAAAGCTCTTAGCTCACACATCCCATCTCTTCTTCACACATTTTATGCCTTCTTTCTCTCATCCGGACTGTTCTTTTTCTCTTTTTTATACAGCAGAGCCTGCCGACTTTGCCTTTTTTAGTTTTTAATTTTGTGAATTTCTTTTTTGAATGAAATTTTCTAGGGACTTTTTTGGGAGCTGGGCAAGGATCAGGTAGAACACTATGCAGGCAATGGAAGTGGCTTTTCCTCCCTCTGCCTTGCCACATCCTGGGAGAAAAGACCAGACTTTTGCCTTCAGGAAGCAGAGATGTGACGTAGGCTCATTAAGAGACACTCCCACAGTCTTTGGTAGCCATCCTTGAGTAAAATTTAGATGAAGACTAGATCTTCCCTGGCAAGTTCCAGAAGGGTGGGCTTTTGACTTCTAATTCTTCTCACCACTGAGGCCAGCACTGTCTGAGGGGAAGTGTCTTCTCCAGCGACAGGTTTTCAGGAGTCCCTGCTCCCCTGTTTCCTGGAGGGTCTCCTTTTCTGTCCTGGATCCCAGGGCCCCTGTCTTCCCTGTCTCACATTGCGGTGCTCAGAGCAGCCTGTGCAGTTATGACCGTGCCGAATTCACTTCTGTTCTTTCCCCACTGTGGAAGATCAGCTGCTTCCTCTGGGCCAGTGGTTCTCAGGAAGGTGGTTTTGTCCCCTAGAGGCCACTTGAAAATCTCTAGAGACATTCTCGATGGCCTTGCTTGGGGGTGAGGGCTGTGTGCTACCGGCATCTAGTGGCTGGAGCAGCAGGGATGCTATTACACATCCTGCAGGTGCACAGAACAGCCCCAGCTCCCCGCCCCCGAAAGAATTATTTGGCTCCAAATGTCGGTGGTGCCAAGGTTGCGAAACCTTGATGTAGACAGTGTTGTTACTGCCTCCGGTGCCAGAGGACTTGGTAAATTCCCACCCTAACCCTGGACATGCAGTGCCTTTTGGTACTCAGTGTAACTGGCTGAGAGGGACAGAACTGGGGTCCTGGAATTTTCCCCAGGCTTTGACCTTGGATACCCCTGCATACCGCGTGAATCGTCCTAGGAAGGCTTGTGCTGCTGCGTCCATGCCCCGTGCGGGCGCGCGCGGGCGCGCGCACACACGTTCAGCAGGATCAAGGTGTGGGGACTGTTCTGCGTTGTGCGCCGTGCAGGGGTGGGAAGGGACAAAGCTCTCTGTAACTGTCCAGGGCAACCTGCTCTGCCCTGATTTGTTTGGATCCCTTTTCCAGGGACCCAGGACATTAAAAATAATGTTACTTCTTGTGGAAGGATGACAGGGAGCTAGGATGGAAAAGGGCAATAAACCCCATCTCATTATTTACAAAGTCGGCCATCCTTAAGAGCCTGTATTTCACCCTGGAAGGCCTCGTCCGCCCTGGCACTGTGCCCATGGGGACAGGAGGAAGCCTTCGCCCCTCTCTGGGAAGTGAGATCCCGCAGCTGTCCGCTCCCGGTCCCTCGTTCCCACACCGGCAGTCCTGCTCCCCTGCACTGCAAGGTCAGGTGCTTTTCACCCGACTGGCAGAAAGCCAAAGAGAGACAATGGAGAAACCGGTGTCTGCTAGGGCAGCTGTCGGGAGAGGAAGGAGAGGAGACGGAGGGAAAAGCAGCTGAGGTAGCAGTTCTTGGACAGAGAGCACGCAGCCAGCTTTCCCTCCCCGAAGTGAGAGGTCCCCCCCCCCCCCCCCCCCCCCCCCCCCCGCTCCCTGCCCCTAGGCTGCCCTTTTGTGCAGTCCTGGAGGCAGGGGAGGTGGCTACAGGTAGGGTGTCAGGTGTGAAGGACGGAATTCCCACTCTTCATTTCCTCATGGCCACTTCCAACCTCAGGAAGGGCTTATCCCTTGTAGAGCAGCCCCCCATCCAGTCGCGTTCTAGAAGGGTGTGGCTGGGCAAGTAGCTCTTGTTTCTAAGTCTCCAGCCCTGAGTCGAGGAAAGTATACCATAGATTTCTTGTCAGTGGCCTTGAAGAAGAAGAGAAAACAAATCCAGAATCCTGTTCCTTCGATTGCTAGTTTGGAGGAGGCTTGCTGGGCAGGTGGTTTAGTGGAGTGGGGGCCTTTCCAGGATGGAAACTTGTTCATGTGACGGTTGCCTCTCCTTTGCGTCCCAGAACTTTTTTTTTAAACTTTATTTTTTTTTCCAGAACTCTTGAATCTATTGTCTGTTTTTGCTTTTTTTTTTTTTTTTTTAATGTTTAAATGGCCAGGATTTTGCTTTGTTTTACATAATGGAGTTACCTTTTGTGTGTTCTTACCATGTGACTCTCCCTAAGGGTTCTGTTGAGTGCTTCTGGTTTGGACAGGTTTGGGCATGGGAAGGGATGGGGAGCCTGAAGTTATTTTTGTAGCAGTTAATGGCGCTGTAGAATTTTTTGGTTTTGGGTTACGCTCCTGTTTTTCCCCTAGTTGTTAGTTCATGTCTAACAGTTGCTAAGGTGAGTGAGTGAGTGGGGAAAGGGGAGAACGGAATGAGGGACACTCTTTCTCTCACGAAATACCCTATTGGCGGCAGTAGTGCCCGGGGACTTGTAGGGGGCCTGGGGCTGGGCTCTTTAAACGCTGTGCTTAGCGTTTTCTCGGTCGTCTTCATGGAGCCGCGTCACCTCTCACCCCCACACTCTTAAGATACTTTGTGTTTTTCTGTTTCCGTGCAAATAGAGTATGTCCGAGTCCCTTCCTCAGATGATCGAATCCTTTATGAGGCTCAGAGCCTGCCTGTCCCGTCTCAGGTCAGTGTTCTTACTGTTCCCTTCACGCTCTGAGCTGATGTTCAAACCCTAAGCTGATTAGACTTTTTGGAGGAGGGTGTGGGTAGAGGGTAAGGAAGATGTGGGAATGATGATAAGGAGCGATGTTATTTTTTAAGACTGGTGTTAACCAAAGAATTTGAAGAGCTGCCAAGACTCGGAAGCCTGGTGGCTCTGAAGAGGCAACGGCCCTTGGCAGGAACACGTAGGTAGGGGCGGTAGGAGGACATTACACTCACTGAGGGTGAAGACTGGACTCGCTGCTCTACCCACTCTTCCTGGGTTGGGTCACCTCAGCCCGGCTCCATTCCTCTTCCTTCCCTCACTTACTGGTCAGTGAGCTCCTTCACCCTGGTGGTGCCTGCGGCGCTCACTCCCTGCTCCTTCGGAGCCGACCTAAGTATGGCCTGTCGCTTTGCCCTGAAAGGTACTTGAGAGGCCGAGCTGGAACGGGATGCTGCAGGGATCTGACAGTTTAGTCTTTGGGGGCGGGGACCATTGCTGCTCCGTTGTGCACATGCCCCACCTTCTGGGGGAGCAGCGGCACTGCACCTGTGAGCGCTACTTTGACCTTAACCAGTGGCAATAAACTTGGGTCCGTGATCAGGTCTCCACTTGTCCGCAGAGAAGAGGGTGGGGGTTATGCAAGCCGAGGTGTCAGGGCTAGGTGTTCAGCTTGTGCCTGCTCGCAGAGTCCTCCTTAAACCGACTACTCGATTTCTGTGCTACCTGCATTTTAGGTCCTTCCGAGCACGAGCAGAGCCCTCATATTTACTCACCTTTCATTTCCCACTTTCTTTTTAAAGGAGGGTCTTCCTTCAGCCACCAAGGCCGGCCTGGGAGCTGTCACCCTTCTGATCTTTGGTGACCGCAGTAGGGGTGCTCCCCACATGACTGTGCTCGTGAGAAAGCTAGGTGCCCTCCTGCCCATTCCCATTGCTCTTTCTCCCTGCCATAGCTACTCCAACCATATACCAGAACTTCTTTGTCCTCGTGACACCATCTACCTCACAATTTCACAGTTCAGCGAGGGCACAGGCACCTGGTTTACCTCCTTCCTTCCCTTCATGAGCTGGGGGCTAGAAGGGGTTCATGATCAAACGCAGTTAACTTTTGGTAATTTCTATTTCTGGAGTGTCGTCTTTGGGATTTTTTGCTCCTTACTCCCCCTAGAGTAGTGTGACCTCTTCAGTTCGGTCTCACTGTGGTAAGCCGGGGGTGGGGGGTGGGGGTGGGTGGGCCATGAATGATTGCCTAGGATGTTAACTAATGCTTGGGAGCCACCCCTAGGAACACCACCATAGGCGCCCATCTCAGAACTTGAAGATTAAGAGTTGGCCAGTGGCCGCCGCGTAGCTGAGAGGTAAGCAAGTCCCGAAGAGGGAAGCTGGTGTCCCCGCACCTGATGTCGTCTGAGGGTTCACCGAAACAAAACTTCCAACCTGGCAGGTGGTAAGATTTCCCAGCCTGAGTAAAGAAAAGTTCTCACGCCACTATTGGTGTCCCTGTCCCAACATTTTTGGGTGGTGAGTGCTTTCTTGCATGCACTTGTCATCTTCACCAGGAAATAATTTATACGCACACATTTTGTACATTTTTTATCCAGAAGCTTCTAGTTTTATACTCTTTTCATGTTTATGCCAGTGCTATCTACCCTTCTAGTTTATTCTTCCTTTTTGACCCTTAGTATTTTCATGTTCCTTCCCTACAACTTGGTATAGCTCCATTTTGTCTTATTTCAACTTTTGTTTTGAAATAAAACACAAAAGTCTACCCCCTGGTGTTTTATGCATGGGCAGAAGTTGGGAGGTTGGTGATGGGCCTGTATTTGCTACTCTGGGAACACAAGCGGCAGCTTAGGAAGCCAAGGTAGTGTCTCACAAGGCAAGGAGTAGGCACCCAGAATGGCACTTTGCTCAGGTGCCAGGAGCACTAAGAACCTGTTCCCTCCATGTAAGCAGAAATTCTGCTGTGGATGCCTCTTGTACGGGAAGGGCCAAGCTTGGAGGTTTAGGGACAAAGCTTGGAAGTTTAGGAGCATGTTGCTCCCCTGCCAGCTTTCTCCTACACCAGACGAGCCAACCTCGCCCTCATACCCAGTCTTCCCCTTAAGCAAGTGTGAGAACCTATGTTGAAGGGAAGATAAATACACAAGAGTCTTTTGAATCTCTATCAAATGTGGTTTTTATTTCAACTGACAAGCACTTTTCTACAGCTGCACTTGTGGAACATCACATGGCAAAAACAGGAGGTTTTTTCTCTAGACCTTTTTTTTTTCTTTTTTAAACCTTATTAAAAATGAGATTGGTCCTAAAAATATAGAAAGAAATAAATTTAAATTCACAAAAAACTGTACATTATCAAAAAGTCACTAAAACACCACATTTGGTTATATAAAAAGTCAAGTCCCTTTTGTTGTAAAAGGAACATGGAAACTTGTTGGTGTTGATGGTGTGGTTTCTTCCTGTTACCAGACTGATAGAGGGGAGGGGAAACAAAGGGGCAGGGGGTGGGTTTTATTATTTTTTAACCTGCCTTCCCTACCAAATACTCTTATTTGTCAAGAAGAGAAAATCCACCTAGCTCAAGGGGCGGTGAAGATGAGGAAAGAACATGAGAAATGGCCCCTTTGATCATGCCCTACCCCCACCCCCCCTTTCAGCCCCAACTTCTTCAAACTGAGGCTAGGACTCCACCCCATCTTAAGAGTGCCTGGTCCCTAGGGAAAAGAGATGGAGCTGGGAGAGGAACACAAAGAAGGAACATGGAGATTTCACTCCCCCGTCCACCTCGCCTCCAACAATAAAATTAAGCTAGTACATTTTATACCGGGGAAAACTGCCATGGGGAAAAAAGAAGAGCCCCCAACTATAACAGTTCCAAACGTCTGACTGACACAAACTTTGTTACAGCGCAGTTATTTAGATAAAATATAAATATTTATGCATAATATAAAGTCAATTCAAATATTCTTCAATCCACCTCTTAAAAGCAAAAAAAAAAAAAAATCTCAAATAAAATTAAAAGTTTTGAGGTTTATCTGACAGAAAAGGCGACTTTAGAAATAGGCCATGGGGGAGAAGGGGGGCAATCAGGAATAAGACAGGGGCTGCCCCAGGACCTCCCCACTCTGCCCCCCACCCCCTTCAGTGGCTAACCAGTGCTGCCAGAAGTACAAGGAATGCTCCACCTCGCCTGGCGCCCCGTCCCCCACCAATGGAACATTTCTTGGACCCCTCAGCTCTCTGCTTGGGCCGGCCAGCAGCCACCTCCCCAGTGCAAGTACCCGTAATCTCTGATGGGAGGGGCGCTGCTGAGCAGGAAAGCAGGGGGGGCAGGGGCCCATGGCTGTAGCTGGGGGTTAGCAGCTTTCCTCTCGCATGCTGGGGCTTAACTCGGGCATAGTCACATGTAGGGCAGTGGTGGACCCAGAACCCCTCTTCCCTACTCTCTTGTGCTCTGGGGTCTCTGCTGCTGCTGGAGAAGGGGTCCCGGGTATGAAGTAGGTAAGGGAAGAAAAGCACAACTAAACCCACAGAAGCTCATGGGATTAGGGAAAGATCCAGTTCTACCCCTCTCCCTACAAAAGCTTAAGACTCAAAGCTATTGAAAGGAGAGGGAGTTCCTGCTGAAAGATTGCACAGTTTGAAGAGGCTGGAACAGAAATGCCTGGGAGAGAGGAGACAGAGCCTTGTACCCAGAAAAACTGCTCCTGTGGTTTCCCAAGGACAAAAATGTGATGGTTTCAAACACTAGGGAAGGTGGGAATAAAAAGATACTTGGGGAAACTGGATGCCATCAAACAGCACAGGGGCACAATCACAGCATCCTCCCTCCCTCCCCCTCCACACACACACACACACACACACACACAAAGACACACACACACACACACACCTCTCTCTGAGGCCAGCTGATTGCTACCTGGCCTCCATCTTGGGAGTGCGCCCAAACTCAGCAGTAGTTGTCCCTGAGGAGTTCCCAAGAGGGAGGTTTGGGTAAGAGGTGGGGAAGGAGGCTGGAAGGCCCAGGGTCCAGGATGCCTCCCTGCCCTCTCCCCAGCTACTGAGTTTCAAAAAAAGGCTAGAAACTCAGCATGTGAGGAGTATCCAACATTACAGAGGGGACAGCTATTGGCAGGAAGGTGAGGACAGAGAGTAAGACAGGGACCTCCGAACTTTTTTTTCCTTTGAGGGGAAAAAAGATTTGGGGGGAGAGAAAAGGGTAGAGGAACCCGTACACGATAGCTTTACATTATTGGATGAGAGAAAAATCTTAAAAGTAGGGAGAGGAGGGAAAAGGAAAAATCGAGAAAGTGAGAAGCAGGGAAGGGACTGAACATGGAAGCAGCATGTTCAGGGCCCGGTGTCCGGCTCGACACACTTGGGAGTTAAGTCCACTTTACTGGCCGTCACTGCGGGTCCACACACAGTACAGAGTGTTTTTCGGTTTCACACATTCACTAGAACTATTGCTATTGTTAAATAGCCCCAGAATGCTGGGGCACGTACAGGGAAGGAGAAGAAGGTGGGAGGAGGAAGCAGGGACTTCTCTCCTCCTCATTTTAAATTAGGAAATAAAACAGAAAGGAAAAATTCTTTCTTTCTTTCTTTTTTTGGCTTTCAGTCCAGAAGGACCTCATCTCTGCCCCTCTTATTTGAGGAGCAAGAAGAGGGGAGGGAAAAAGGGGTGTAGGTAGGGGTAAGAGGATGTAGGGCGCTGCCAAGGGTAAGGTCAAAAATCAGGCTGAGATCTCTGACTTGAGTCTGGACCCAGGGCAGCATCAGCAGGTGAGAATGGCAGGGTTGGTTTGTTTGTTGGAGGGCAGGGGGAGTTGCCACGAGGTGACTCCCCACCTCCCTTGCCTCACAGATTGGCCTGTTTTCCCTGATAGAACTCCTCCCAGCGGCTCTCGAAGAAGCGGCGCATGATGTGCCCAGCCTTGCCCACTTCGGAGTCATCCTCGTTGAAGGTCTGGCAGTTGTCAAAGACCAGGAGCGCATCTGCTGCAAACTCCTCTGAGCTGGTATACCTGGGCAGAGGGAGAGGGGGAGGCAGAGCTGTGAGCCAGGAGGAGTCACAGGACTAACACAATAGCCAGGAGACGTGCTGCTGTCTACCTACCCTCCCCGGAGCAGCCGCTCCCGCATGGTGGAAAAATCCATAGGGTTTTTGATGATGCGCCGATACCCGCTCACCAAACGTGGGTTCACGGGCTCCAGGAATGGCCAAGCTGCGTCATGGGACTCCATCTCCATCAAGATAATCCTGTCATTAAAGGGACAGGGATGGCTGCATCTCAGGAAGCAAATCCACTGACCCCTCTTAGTCCTTACTATGGCAAAGGTAGAGCCAGTTGTCCCCAGAATTCATTCAACTCACTCGCAAAACGTGAGATCACTGTGGTGGTTCCGCATGGAGAATCGTCGCCGCTTGGCAGGGGACAGCCCTTCTTCTGAGTACCGAGGCACTGCTGGGCTCTCTCGGCCCCTGGACAGTACCCGGCGTCGGCGGCCATCACCCTCCGCGAAGTTCAGCTCGTAACTACTTTTCCGCTTCTGGCCTCGTTTTGGGAAACCAGGCTTCTGAGTGAATCCTCCCTCTACCTGCTGAGGATGGGAAAAGGGTGAGATCAGTAACAGCTGGAGATGTACTCTGCTTGCCTTCCAGTTCATTACCATCCCTATTTGTCTAAGTGTGACTGAGGCTTCAAGACACTTCCACGCATCAGCCAGCATGTGCATCTACTCACATAATCCAGTAAGGTAGGTAAAAGGGAAAACACAATCATTCCCGCTGTACAGAAGCAAGCAAGCGAGGCTACAGAATTTAAGTGACTTGTTCCAAGAGGGACCGGAATCCAGGTCTCCCAGCACCTAACCTGTGCCCTTTCCAAGGGGACACTGAGGCATGGTAGGAAGTGCTGCTATCTGTAGGACTGATGACAAATGGGATGAGAAAGAAAACCTCTGACTTCTGCTTGGGAGTGGGAAGGAGAAAGCAGAAGCCTTACCTGCGCCAAACATACGGCACAGAACCAATCTCCTTCTGGGACAGCCTCCATCTTGGGCCGATGGCAGTAAATGTGGCAGCCACGATCACATCCATCACAAAGCAGAAGAAACTCATCGTTGTCACCCTTCCGGCAGACGAGACAGGTCTAGACCAAGGGTATGAGGAGGCAAGGTGAGCCCTCAAGCCTCTACCTGCCAGTGACCCCACTCCCCCCACGAGCTGGCTGCCCCCTCAGCCTTCCCAGGCTCTCCCAGCCTCTTACCACTTTGTTGACAGACTTCTCCCAGGCAATGGACCTCTCCAGCTGGCCCAGGCACAAGCACACCTGGGCTGCACTCCGGCACCGCTCAAGTGTCTGGCGCCAGGCCCGGATGCGAGGGGTGATCTCATAGGATCTGGGAGGTGGGGGAGGGGCGGAGAAAAAATGGTGATCTTTGGATGAGGAGCAGGATCCATTAAACGTATCCCTTCTCCCCAGGACCAAGAATGGGGGTGGGGGCACTCACATCTCTGTAGTGGTGCACTGGGGGGCACCACTGGGCGTGCTGAGCAAGGCCTTCTCCAGTACAACCTCATGAGCTGGCCAGAGGGGCTCCCGTAGATACCGCCGCTCCACATTCTGCTCAAGGGCAGCAAGGCGCATCACAGCCAGGTCCAGCGGGTTGGTGGTTTTACGCTGGGGTGCCAGTCCTTCCCTACCTCGACCTCTCCAGGTGATATCCTCCTGGGAGTCAGGCAGATGCTCACAGTAGGCCAAGTCTTCCCGAGTAGAGTCTGGGTTGGGACATGTCCAGCCCTGCAGGTGGGAGAGAGGAATAAAACTCATTGTAAAAGAAGAAAATTAAGTGTAGAAAAAAATCTAGTGTCCTCAGAGATCACTTGTGAAGTGAGGACCCAGGGTTTTTCCTAACAGAGTACAAGAGATGACCGTTTCCCCCTCAACAACTTCCTACCCAGTGCCAGCCCTAGTGTACCCGAATCTGCAGATCAGACAGGATAACCCGTTGTTCCAGCTCCTCTACCCACTGAAGCACAGCCAGGTCTGTCTCATAGGTCTTCTCTTTGGGGGACCAGCTCATAATCCCTTCTTGAAAGGCAGGTAGCTGACTAGGCTCAAAGATGGGGTCTGAGAACACAGAAGGCAGAGGGAAAGGCCCATCAATGAGGCCGTTGTCCGCAGCAGCAGCTCAACATTTACCCCTGGGCTCTTTAGCTCAGGCTGGGTCAAAGTATTTGTCTTACCCGCAGAGGGCCGTAGGCAAACTTCCTGTAAGAAGTCCCTGTGCTTGTTGAGGTGTTTGTGAAGTGCCTTTTCTCGGATGCCTCGGGGGTGCAGGGCCTTGAGCGTAGCATCCAGTGTCTCAGGATCTTGGATGCACCACCAGCCAGAGCACATCTCTGTGAAGAATTTGCGTGTGTGGGGTGGGGGGTGGGAACCAGCTATGAATCCCAGGGCCCGTGTCTGATGCCACTCCGACCTATACTCTCACCCATGCCACCTCAAGGGCACTCACCAGGGGGGACAGGCTGGGCTGTCAGCTGGGTTAGATAACGCTGTTCCATCTGTTTGAAGAACTTACTGGGGGGTCTTCCTCTCCGTTTTGGCTGTCCTAGCCCTGTGAGACTCTGTGATGTGCCCCCAGGGTCTCCTGTTCGTCTCTTAGAGGCCATCCCAGGCAAGGGGGTAGAAGGGAGCTGTACTGGAGAACAGGGGTTGGCCGCACTGGGTCTATTCATCTGTGAGACGAAACACACGATGAGGGCATTTTCACATTTAAAGGACCCTAATGGCCCTATCCCTTCCCCCAGCTTCGGCACAAGCCCGAACCCAGGCACTGCAGCGTGTGGCAAGATGAAGTCGACTGCATACCACTAATTCTGGCTACTTACTGGCTTGGAGGAGGCAGGCTGCTGAGGGGACAGAGTAGGCTGGTCCTCAGAAACTGCTGGGGGTGGTGTAGGGGCAGCATTGCATGGCATTTGGGCTGAGAAGTTAAACCAGGGAGCTTGAGAATCAGGGATGGATTCTGCCTCATCAGGCTCCGGCTCCTCCAAGGGTTGTGATGGGGTTGGGTCCAGTTTTCCAGGGCTGCTGTCAGGTGTGAGGACTGAGCTGCTCAGCAGGGAGCCATGGCTCTGAGTCTGGCTCAGCCAAGACAGGAAAGCTGACTGGCTGAGGTCATGCTGGCTCTGACCCAAGGACAAGGGGGAGCCTTCTGGCTCCAGGAACCCATTTTGGGGCTGAGGATGGAGCTGAAGCTGGGGTTGGGGCTGGAGCTGGGGCTGAGCCTGAAGCTGAGGATGGGGCTGAATCTCGGGCTGAAGCTGGGCATCGGGCTGTTCTGAACCCTGACCCCGGCCAGGGGATTTCAGGTGCCTAGATTGTAGAGACCCAGGCTTAGTTTTCCGAGGCCGGCCTCGGGCCCGGGCAGGAGTACTGGCAGAGGTGCTGGAGCCAGCTAACTCCTTCTTCAGGGAGAAGGGGGCTGGGCTGGGTGCTGGATGGGCTGCCACTTTTAAGGAGTCAGTTTCCTGCTTTATCACATCCTCAGGAACTGTAAAGAGAAGTGAAGAGTTTAAAGCATACACTAATACATAAGGGGAAGGAAAGAGGGTGTATAAATACAGGACAGACATTTTCTTTTTCTCTTGGACTTAATCCGCCCCTTTGAGATTCAATTGGGAACAACTTATATGCCAATAAACCAAGTATCTGGGAAAGAAACACTATTCTCCCAAATAATCAAGAAGCAGCAGCATAATCATAAGCTGACATTTATTAAGAACCAGAGAGATGTTAAACACTATCCTAAGAGTATTAACTCATCCTAATCCTCTCAACAGCCCTATGAGGTATACCTATTATCATCCCCATTTTATAAATGAAGAGACTGAAGCATACAGGAGGTAGGTGGGAAGTCTCACCCCACAGCCTGTTCTCTTAACCACTATGCTACACTGATTCTCATAAAATGAAAGAAACCCCAAAAGACTTGACAGAGAAAAAGGAACTGGTTAACTCTGCTAGACTGGACTCAATTCAGGCTCCCATGAAACACCTACGTAAGCTCTCCTCTGTTCCTTCCACGAAGATACCAGCCAAATAGGGCAGCACCCAGTAGCGGCGTCTGTAGCGGTCCTGACCCAAGGAGACGGCCCGAAGCATCTGGGATGAGTGAAGCAGCTTTTTTCGAAAGAAGAGCTGACGCTGGGTAGGCAATGGAAAGAAGAATAAAAAACACATTTCCAAAGAGTGACTCTGTCCAATATACGGGAGCTGGGCAATGGCTCTCAGCTTCCCTATAAAACTGATCCCATCTGGGGCCCAACTCACAAGGTGATAAATTCTCTCCCAGCCCACATCCCCAGATCCTGGGAGGTTAGCAGCACAGTACCTTGCTCAGTTTTTCTATCTGGCGCTCTAGCTCTGGGATGCTTGATGCTGTGGCATCAACCTGGAGAAGAAACAAATGGACAATGAGAGAAAGGGAATTATTAGATTCAAGAAAGACAAATAATCTATTTCCAACTTCCACTGTCCTCCGTGTGGGGCTAGTACCTCTCCATCTCTTCGCCCCCTACGGCCATGGACAGTCACTACAGTCTCTTCCTCTTCCTCTTCTTCCATGCCACTGGTCTCCTCCATGATGCGAGAACTGCGTCTCCGCCCCAGGCCCTCCTCTGGCCCTTGCATCTCTACCTCAGGCCGCCCAGTTCGTTTGGCCAGAGCAGTTTTCAGTCTTAAAACAGAGTAAGGGAAAAACTGCGGTGAGGAACGGGAGATTGCCACAAAAGGAACACCTGGAATCAAAGCCATCCAGAGCCCTGGGGTCAGGTCCCAACCCCAGGGGAGAGGCTACAGGCATCGGTTCCAGGCACGAGTTCTGGCTATGCTTTACTCTTTTCCGCCTTCTCTCCCCTCTAGGCCCTACCCTCTGCCCACCCCTACCTCCGGAGCCGGCCTTCAACAATCCACTTGTTTTTCCTGTAGCTGGACATACTCTCCAGAGTCTTGTCGATCTCACTGTAGAGGAACAGGGAATGAGATTTTGAGGTAGAAGTGGTAGCACAAACAAAAAAGAAGGGAGGCTCAAGGGTAAAGGGGCTGCAGCTGAACAGGAGTTTCATCCTAGGGCCTAGGTTGGATAAATGGCAGAGGAAGGCTTAGATTCTCCCTGGGAAGGCACTAAGACCCAGTCCCCAGGTCGCTCTAGCATCTCCAGAGCATGGCAGTGGACCCATCACCCCAGGACTTCTGGAAGGCTAAACCCTTCCCCTTCCCATTCTGACCAAGGCATACAGTAACCATCCCCACCCCAGACCCTCACTTGATGATGAGGGTGGAGCCATTGAGCTCATGCACAAGGAAGGCCAAGACAGCAGCTTTCTGTTGGGGGGGCTGGGCCTGAAAAGGCTGGGTGCGCAGGCTGTCACAGAGGGCTGGCTCCACTCCATATGCCATGAGGAAGCAGCGCAGGATCTCAGATACATTGTCTCTTGTCAGTGGGATCTCCGACACCTTCTCTCCCAAGATCTTTAAGGACTGTTTGGAGGAGAGCAGAATGGGAGTTAAGAGAAAAAGTGAAATAACACAGGTTGGGTGAATCTGGAACAAGAAAATACACTAGGAGAGAACTATGGGGTGAAGACATAAGAATTAAAGTGCTAACACATGACGAGAGAAGACAAAGGAAATATGAACAAAATAAAGGAATAAAGGAAAATGAACAAAATAAGCAGAGGGAAGTCAGGAAGAAAAACAGAAGGGAAAAATATAAGGAAAACATAAATAGGAAGAAACCAGATCTCCTTTCACTTGTCCTGATCACTTCATGGAGGGACTTTTGTGTGTTTAATTTAGAGAAAGCAAAACTGAGACACAGCCCTGGATCCCAGGCCCTCCCAACCTGCCTGGCGAAGGCCCTCACCTGACAGTAGGAGGGCAGGCCAGGGTCATAGAGCGCAGCCTTCAGGAGCCGCACCAGCAGATCTTGCACCTCACCCAGGCTGTCACCTTGACACAGGAGCCCCTCCTGCAGGACCCCCAGGCTGGGTACATCTTTGGCGGGGTCAAAGCCCAGCACCTTGCCGAAGCTGTGCAGGAATTCCACGATGGTCAAGCAGTCTGAGAAGGCCCCACTGGGCAGGATCAGACCAGGGATGCGTGAGAAGTCAGGTAGGGGCTGTAAGGATAAAAGTGGTAGGGTTTTCAAACATACCTGAAGGCAACAGTCTGGATATCTAGGAGGTTCTTCTTTTAGTGGAAATGTCTTCACAACTGGCCCCTCCAGGACCCAGGGACCCAGGACCTGTTACTCTCCCCTCACTACCTGGTGATCAGTCAGACACATATCCTCTGTGGGCTTCTTCATCTCTTCCAAGATCATCTGTTGCCTCTGCCGCTCCTCCAAGCGCCTCTGCATGGCCAGCGTTTTATCGGCTTTACAGCCTGATTTGCCTTTGGCCACTTCCTCCTTTTCCTTCATTTTTACCTTCTCCTTCTTCTCCCTCTTCACTTTTTCCTTCAGTTTTTCCTGCTTTGTCTTTACCTTCTCCTTCTCAGCCTACTCACCCAAAGGAGAGAGGGACCAAAAGTTCCATAAAGATTCCAGTCACCACCCTTCCCTGGTCCCCCCACCTCCCACCTCAGAGCCCACAAGCGTGGCTATAAAACAAGACCAACTCATATATGTCTTGCAGAATCAGTTTGGTGACTTCAAAGTTATACTTGTGTGTACATGCACCTACCTTGGATTTCTTCTTAGCTTCCTTCTGCTTTAAACTCTTGGTCTCTTGTTTCCGCTTGTTTCTGGCCTGTAAACCATAAGGGAAGTCATTTCTCCTCAAACTCTGAAAGCATCTCTGCTTGGGCTAGGATTCAAAAACAGACAAGGGTGCTGGGGAGGAGAGGTGAGAGATGGGATGAGGGGTTGGCAATGGATCAATTCTCTCACCCTGGAGATGCCCACATGATTCTTGAACAAGCCCAATTCTCCAAATCAAGCCCCCCTCCGCCCCCCCGCAAATTCCAGGTACGAAGGTATGCTGCTACATGAGGGAAGGCGGGGAGATGGGGAGGTGGCAAATGTAGAAGGAAGAAGAGACGATGAAGTGGACTGTAGGAAAAGTTAACCCACTGTGTAATCTCTCTGATGTCCCTCACCTGCCCTTGGATAGTAGGCTGACACTCTCCTCGTTGTACCTTCTGCTTCATCTTCTTCTTGATTTTATTCATCTTTGCTTTATCCTCCTCATTCAGTGCTTCTGTGAGGGCAGAAAGAGAAATGAAGAGTGAGGCAGGCAGACTGATCTCCAGCATCCAGAGCAGCACATGCCTGTCACAAAGCTGACTTCCTAAGCAGCTCCCTGAAGAATCTAGTTTTGTTTTTTGGTATACATAATAACACGTTGGGGAGAAAAACGTTGAAGAGACACCTGCTGTGGGGTAGCACAAAGAACTCAAAACTCTCCGGCCCAGAAGTCCCAGCCCCTGGAACAGATTAGACTACTTTAGAAGGGGTCTTAGAGGCCGCAATGGCAGAATAGCCTTGTAACCTGTCTCTTTCCCAGGCTACCTGGTAGGGGCAGCAACCCACAGACTGATTTCAGAGCAGAGAAAGAAAATAAAACCAAACTGCCAGGGAAAAAGGGTGGTCTCCACAGTTGGAAGCACCAATTAAAAAGAATGTGCCAGAAAGAAAGGACTCAAATAATGGACACCCTCAACACTGACATAGCTATTGCTTATGCTCAGTTCTTATGCCTTGCTCTACCAAAAAAATATAAATTTCTCTGCTTTTGGAAGACTGAATATTGAAGGGGAATGCTAAAAACAATAGAGTGTGTTAGAACTGATGGTTTTTTTTTTTTTAAAGATTTATTTATTTATTTATTCGAGAGAGAGAATGAGAGAGAGAGAGCACGAGAGGGAAGAGTGTCAGAGGGAGAAGTAGACTCCCTGTCGAGCAGGGAGCCCGATGTGGGACTCGATCCCAGGACTCCAGGATCATGACCTGAGCTGAAGGCAGTCGCTTAACCAGCTGAGCCACCCAGGCGCCCCAGAATTGATGTTTTTGATAGGATAGTACCTATTCTATTCTGGCATGGACACACTACCACCATGTCTATACAGCAACCCCCTAAGTTAGACAGATACTAACTACAGATAATCCAGTATAGGCTTCTAATAAAATATAAGTGTCTTGCTCCAGGTCATATGGTCTGAATGTGGCAGAGCTGAATAGGAGTCAGAACACTGCAAATTTTTTCAAACTCTTCAAACTATATCAGGGTAAATGCAATATCTGCTGAAAAATTACACATTTCCTACCTGTCTCTCCATTAAAACAGTGTCAGTTATCTTTGGATTCAGATGTGAATTCTGAACCTCTGTGATGGTAGCAATGAGTAAGGTTAAAGTGCACAACCCAAACCAGTAAGCCAAGGAGCTGAAAGATGGTAAGAAAGGACATGGAAGCCCTCTCTTCTCCTATCAACATCTGGGGACCGACCACTCAAAGCTCCACTGGTATAAGCAATTCAAGAAGAAACAGATTGCTGAAGTACCACAAAAGTGCTGGGACCTTGGTGCTGCTTTCTAGGGAGGGGAAGGTGATTCAGATTCATTCTGTCCAGATAATGTCATTCATGCTCCTGGGAAACCCAGGCATTAGTAATTCCTCAACATTTCCAAAACTTCAGGGGCACTGGGTGGCTCAGTCGGTTAAGCATCTGCCTTCGGCTCAGGTCATGATCCCAGGGTCCTGGGATCGAGCCCCGCATCGGGTTCCCTGCTCAGTCGCCCTCTCCCCCTGCTCGTGCTCTCTCTCACACTCTAATAAGTAAAAATCTTAAAACAAAACAAAACAAAACGCATTTCCAGTACTTCACAGAGCAAGCAGAATCCTAACGTAAGAGACACCACTGTACCTTGGGCCTCCAGTTTCTTTAGGAGGCGGTTATCTGTCTTATTCAGCAGCTCAGCGATTTTGACCTTGGGTGGCCGACCTCGTCCCCGTTTCACCTTGGGGACTTCCTTAGTCTTGGCCTTCTCAGTGTTTCGAGGTCGGCCCCGTTTCCCAGTAATTGCCTGAATCCTGGATGGGATCTCCTCTGCTGAGAGCTGTACCCACTGCAAGCCCTAAGGTAATGAAGAAAACTATTACAATGTGAGGGTGCAAGCCACCATAAACTCTGAATCATTCAATGCCCCAGACCCTCCAAACCCCAAAAGAAGCTACAGCTTCTCCACCGACTCTTTCTCAGAGACAACAGCATATTTAACCCTGGGGTGTGCACCTCTGGCGTGTCTCTCTCTTCAAAGAAATCTCCAACAGGCATACGGGGACTGAAACTGAAGTGCTCACGGCGTACATTGTGTACCACGTTGCGGCTCAGGTACTAAAAGGAGGAGGCAAAGTGGCATTAATGAAGTCCCAGCCCTATCATGCCTTTGTCCAGCAATAGCACAAACAGAACAGGCCAAAGAGCAGAAAATGCTAGCCTGTTGCCCCTGGGCCCAAGAAAGGAGTCTGTGCTTCTGTTAAAATGCCCATGAAATGGAATACGAAGCTTCAGCAAAGCTTGAGTAGTTACATCCTTGTGAAAAGGCATTAAATTATTTCTGTATATTATGTAGTAGGTCCCTTCACTTCTTGGAGAATAGCAAATCTAGCTTCTTTGTACAAACGTAGAGCTTATCCAAAGATTTTCTCCCTTTACCTCATATTTCTTAGAAATTTAATGTGTATACATTGTCTGCTTTCCTATGACTTTTAGCTCAAGCAACATATATATCAGTACTTTTTCTTTCTTAGATGTAGTAAAAAAAAAAAAAAAAATTCTGTTTAAAGACAGAAAGGGATTAAATTTTTTTTTCCCACTAAAGCTTTCTTGAAGGTCAGGGGCTTTATCTATGAAAAAGTAGTAAATAGTTCCTGTAACGTGTGAAGCAGCAGCTGGCCTTAAATCGTCCTTTCTGGCTAAGGGTAGAACAGCGAATACTAGTATATACTGTTCGGGCTGCTTTTAGTTTCTCTTAATCAAAATTATTAAATGATAGAATTCAAGAACTTATATACATGTTCCTACTTGGTGTACTGATAATCATTTGATAGTAAAGACTTTGCCATATATTAAAAAAAAAAAAATGCCCATGAAACCTCCATTACCTTGATCACTTCTGGAAACTGTTTCATCCTCTTCCCACAGGGGCCATAATACCACGTCTCCCCTTGCCATCGGTGGCTACCCTTCTTGATGCGCACCTCTCTCCGCCACCTGCCAGAGAACCACAGATGCCCTGCCGCCAGGTCACACCCCTACCCACAGTCAAGCCATCCCAGGAGCCAAGCCCACCGAGATGACCCTCCACCTATCTTACTAGAACTGCAGGTAGATGCAAACACAGCAGGAGACACAAGCTTGGCAGGAAGGCAGGCCTGAGCTCTACAAATCCCTCAGGGCCTGGGGGGTAGGGGGAGCAATACACAAAAATGCACAGGCCCAGAAAGACCTCCACCCTGCCTTTACAAAGTCAGTGTGATGAGCAGCCAGGAATCCCCTCCCTAATGCCATTCAAGGCAATTGCTGGGTTTCCGTCCTACAAGTTCTGGGCACCGCCTTGAGGGAATAAAGGCAGAAAAGACAGAGGGTGGGGGGGAAGCAGAAGAATAAACTTGCTGCTGACTCCATCAAATGACTCTGTAGGCCAAGGTTTAGTAAGGAACTCTGTGTTCTGAGAAACAGATTATTCTAAGACTAAGCCTTATCTTTCTCTCAGAACTTTAAGCAGAACTCAGACTTGGTGACCACAAGTAGCCTAGAGGGGTGGGGGTGGGGACAATCAGGAAGGCAGTCATTCTTATGAGGCCCTTGGTGTCAATTGACTTGCTCATTCTGGTCACATACTGTTCCTGTCCTTACCTCTCCAAAGAGCATTTAAAAAAAAAATATCCCAATTCATCAGGACTTAGCCACTCCCCACTCAACTGCTATCCCCTCTCTAAGCATATAAAACACGTCAGCTAATTTGGATATCTGAGCTCTAGGGTCACCAGCTGGGTTTGGAAAAGATAACAGCTGCAGCCCCTGGAGCAAAAATCCGAATGGCCACAAGGTGAGGAAAGAATAGGTGAGGGGAGGGCAGATCCTGGGAGAAGAAGGAAAGCTAAAATCTCAGGCATTATCATTGCAGATAACTGTCCTTTAATCCATTCTTGCCTAGCCCATTCCTCTCCATCTCAGACGAGATGACCTCTCTTCCCTTCTTCCTAGAGTGATTCATTAAATTTGTCAAGGTCAATGTATGTAGCAAACTAGAGCATTTACCCATGTTGGAGGGGAAGACGAACTTCTTCTGGGGTAGCAATACGTCTCCTCAGGACATCACCTTGAGAGGAAGATAGGGCATACCCAACTTAAGAATTCAAGCAAAACAGTGAAACTGGCCAGCAGGGAAGGACTAAATGCCACACAGGACAAAAACTTTTCTTTTAAACTGGCTAAGAATGGAACAGAATCTGGACACTCACCACTACCAGAAGTAGTGACTCCTTCTCCAGTGATCTCTTCCAGGTCAGTGGTGGTTTCAGGGAAGGTGCTGACATCCTTATCTGCTGGGGAGGCTGTTGGGAGGACAGCTACTGGGGAGGCTGCAGGGGACACTTTTGGGGAGGTCACTGGGGAGCCTGTCAAGGAGACTTCTGAGGAGACTGGTGGGAGGGCTGCTGAGGAAGTTGGAGAGACAGCTGGGAAAGCTGCTGGGGAGATGACTGGGGAAATTTCCGGGGAGACTGCTGGCGAAACCGCTGGGGAGACTTCTGGAGAGATTTCCAGGGAGGCTGCTGGCGAAACTGCCAGGGAGATTGCCGGGGAGGCTGTTGGCGGGACTGCTGGTGAAGTTGCTGGATGGAGCTGAATAGTGGATGACTGGTCAGAGGCTGGCTGGGTCAGAGGTGGTGGGAAGTCTGAAGCCTGAGTCTCCATTTCTTCCTGTTCTGCATCACTACCATTATTCAGGTCAAAGCTGTTATCTAGAATGCAAAAGGACAAAATGGGTAAGGAAAAATGGTGTCCTACAAAACAAGAGAATCTACTCAGTGAAACCTGGACTAAGCTAAACAGAGTTACTTAAGAAGGCTTTTCCCTAGGGTTGGAAAACATGAAGTAGCCTCTGGCTGTCCTTCCCAGCCATTCATGAAGGTTAAAGGGTAAAAGCTGCTGCATTCACTTTGTGAAGTACCTTTTACCTGGAGCCAGTAAGGCCTTTGGCCTCCTTTTTCCTGCAAACTCCAAGTCCTACAAGTTCTGGGCACAGGGCAGACAGAAGTCAGAGTGAGCAGCCTGTGCCTTTTTTAGTCCCACGATAGCTCCCTCAGCTCCCAGTAAGGCGCCCACCCCTAAGACCCTAACTATGGAACTGGTTCTCTCACCTGTTCTCAGGCCAAAGACTCTGTCCTACCTCTCTTCACTCACCTTGCAGGACAGACTCCCCAAGGACAGGTGGAGAGGTGGGGCTGGCAAAGATAGAAGCTGAAGTTTGACTGTCATCTGCCAGGAGACTGAAGGCAGTGGCGTTATTGAGAGAAGGGCAATCAAGGGCAGAAATCACAGGGCTGTCCTCAAGAGGCAGCTTGTCCTCTGCACCCATCAGCTCCGCGTCATCTATACCATAGAGTCCTCCACTCACTGGCTCTTCAGGAGGTGGAAAAATCAGAAAACAAGATTTAAGAAATACTGGTCTCACTATATCCCAATTCTAGTTAGTTCTCATCATGTTAAGGTTCTTTCTAATATTAAATTAAGGCAATTTTACAGCTCTCTCCCTGAAACAGTAAAGTCACCAGGCTATAGGGATTGTCAAAGCTTGAAGTAGAAATGAAGGGAAAACCATTGGCTCTATATCAACCCAAAGATCAACACAAAATTCTAGCATCCATCTTAAAATCGGCTTTTCTTATATTTCAGTGGGACAAAGGTAAATTGTTCACTGGCAACAGTTTTCTATTAGAGAAATCTCTATTAGAGATAGTTAGACCCAAACAGCCCAACTGTGTGGTAATAAGTCCTTATCCAGTGATTTATTACAGCCCAGGGCTCCTGGCCAAAAGGAACACTGGGAGAGAACCTGGGAAATGAACCAATTCAGCTCAGAGTGCAGTTGGCCTAGTCAGCCAGTGGGATGAAACTGTGGTCGGCCACAGGATTATCTGGATTTGGGCCACAATGCTCCAAATTCCTCAATACTTTCCCTGGTTTACTATCTCTTCCAGGTGATAGAAGCTGGCTACCTTTTGCATGGACAAATTGAAGGGAGCCAGCCTCTAAGCCTACCCGGTGCCAGAGGGTTGAAGGGCTCCAGAGAGACTTCACTGAGGATTGGAGTGTCTTCCAGTTGATCAGGAAGATGTGAAGGATCATCTAAGCAGCTCACTGTGGGGTCAGGGACCAAGACTGAGACCTCTTGGTGTAATGATTCCACAGAAGGGACAGAGCCATTATAGCCACACATCTTCAGTTCTAGGAAATCCCAGAAAAGAGCAAACGTCAAAATCAGTGCCTTCAACTGGTTCATTCAGCTATAGTAGGCAGGCAGTCTTTGCTAGTGGGATGTTCATTCTTCAGTAATCCTATGTATGAGTCCTATGCTGGGTTCCAATCATACCAAGATACTCTAGTGAGCAATGCTAATAAAATCCTATAGCAGGTAAAGAGAGGGAAAAGGAGAGCAGGGTCTGAGACAAGAACCCCATCATGTTCTCAGCTGTGTTCCCATCCAGTGGGAACAGGTGGTAAACAGAGAAAATATCCTGTGATTCTATAGGGTGGTCACCCTTATATTTGGAATCAATGCCAAAATAAGCATTTATAAATTTTGAGGTAAAAGAGGAGAGGGACTGTCATATGTACCAATGCTAACAACAACAACAACAACAACAACAGGAAACTGAGTAGACAAGCAATGTTATGCTATGCCTGCTTCCTTCCCTCCTTCAGGTGCCAATCACTACTAGGGCTCAGCTCACTTTAGCAGCCCAGTCTGGCCTTGCCATAGCCAAGTCAAATTGGCTTCAATGACCTCTGCTAATGCCCCAACCCCTTCGTATATTTTGGAAGAAGCCCTTCTCGATGCAGGGTGTCTATTGGGGCTGTTTCGGGCTCGCCCACCTGCCCTCTCCAGGCCAGCAGCTCTGCATGAGCTTGAAATAATTTGCACTCCCACTCGCGAGCTGGTGCTGCTGCCACAAAAACACCAGCCACTTGGCTCTGCTAATCACCAACATGCAAATCAGCCTCCACTGCAGAGAGCTGGAAAGACAAGTTTTCCTCACCTCAAAAAGCCACTGCCCCCCATAGCCCCATTTTTCCTCTCCCAGCCCAGCTCACAGACCCAGAGTTATACCTGGCTGCTCTTCTTCCAGCTCCAGGCTGCCTACCAAGCCAGTGCCATTCTCTGCCACAACTGATGTCAGCTCCTTTTCTGCCGCCTCATCAGGATGGATACCACTGCCTACTTCCTGGGAGGGTGCAAAGGTCTGGATGCTGGATCCCAACATAGGAGAAGTCTGCGGGGAGGTGAAAAAACTAGGGGGTCCATTGGGCATCACCTCAAAATTCTGGTCAGGAAAGGAATCATACAGTTCCTGTGAGTCGAAGTTAAGCCCCATGGGACTCTGGGTACCATTGGCCCAGAACTCTTGGCTCCCAGCCCGAAGGTTAGTGTTGTGACTTGGGGATGAAGGTTGCCGGCTGCCCCCAAGGATGCCGTTGAGTGGGTATTGTCCCCCCGAGAACTGGGAGAGAAGGGGTGGGTCCTTGAGGTTGCTGCCAGGATTGGCAGATGGGTACTGTGAGTAGTTCCAGAGACAGTCATAGGCCACGCTGGGGTGATGGAGGTGTGAGGTGCTGGAGGAGTGGGGAGCAGAGTTCAAAATCCCTGAAGTAGTAGTGTGAGATACAGTAGATAAGCCATTAACATTCACATCCCCATTCAAACCTGGCAGAGAAAGAGGGAAAAGGGTCAGTTACAGATATGTATGCAAGAAATTCTATCACTTCTACCAAAAGCACAGCACTGACTAGAAAAAGGGAAGGTGAAGGGGAGGGGGATTCCCCCTCTGCTGTATTTATAGCTTTTCAGTCTCCAGGGAACACCAAACCCAGATGCTCCTGGATGTAAGCTTAGCAACTGCTTCTGAGGCTGCTGAGTAGGGGGCTGGGGAGCTCTTCTGGCCTACCACAGCAGCGCCCAGTAGAGAGCTGGCTGCTGCTGATGCTCAGGGCTTTTTATTTTTTTTAAATGAAGCTGCTTGCAGACTCCCTACAGTGACTTGCATTCTTCTCCACCCTCATTCCCTAGAGGAATTCTTCCCTTGGAGCGGCATGACTGAATTCTCCAGGCCCCCCCTTACCCCAGAGCCCCTTTGGCCCTGCAGTGGCACCAGAAGGGACAGCCTCCACCTCACTGGCACATGCAGATCCAGCACTTTGTGCTGGGCTAAGAATAGAATCTGCAGTCACCACAGCAGCAAGATCCCAACTCAGAAGGCTGGGCTTGGCCCCTCCACATAGAAACTGGAGGGTAATATTGCAGGGGAGAAATGACTGCATGACCAATACTACAGACTTCAGTTCTCAACACCAATGGTAACCTCTGGACTGGAGGACAATTCAAATAAAAGGAACCAAGACACTAAAGAAACTGAGGGGGAGGGGGTCCTCCAGTGAAATAAAGGAGCTTCTATCTATCTGCAACCCCCTTAGGGAGAAGAGAAGGGAGAGGTGGTTAAGTCTAAGCCTATGGCAGTATTTTTCTGCTGTAGGGAAGGAGGAAGCATTTGGGCTTCTCTGCTTCCAAGCATAAAGTACCTGAAATCCAGACAAGATTAGAGAAGTACTTGGCAGAGCTATGTACAGAGCAACTGATAAGCCAAATCCAGGAAAAGACCTGATCCTGGCAGCAATACTTCCGTCTGGAATTATAGATGCTTCTCTCTAGGGACCTAGGTAAGCATTAAAACTTTCTCTGTCCCTCTCTCCTACTCTCAAGGACAGGGGTGGCACAGACTTCAAGTGTCTGCCCTCTTCTCTATTACACAAACTAAAAGGCAAACACATCCCAACCTTCACCCAACCCCTCCACCCCCAATCCTAGGGCTGGCTTCTCTAACCTTTAAAAACAGCTCTTCAGAGGGCTGGACCTTTTTCTCACAGGTCCAAAAGTGGGTACCGGAAGCAGTCGCCACCTCACAGCTATCTGGCAGTAACCAGGGAACAGGGCTGACAGAAGAGCAGGCCAAGATGAAAAGGCCAGTATGTTTCTCTAACCCCTTCCTACCTAAGTCAAGACTAAGAGTGCTGCTTCCATAAATCCCTAGAACTTATTCTTAGAAACTTGGGTTTCTCTCCAGCAGCCGAAGTTCTGAGGATTTACTTCCTCCCTCCCCACCTGGCAGGAAAAAAGAGCTGTTGTGAGGTAGCTAGCCCAGAGGGGAGCCAAATCTTGTCCCATCAACCTGCTCTAAAGGAATGATGCCCACTCCCTCCCCAGGCCATGTGGCCCTCACACTCACTTTTCCCTTGCTGGGGGAAGTTCATGGGAGACCCGTTAGTGTAGAGGCCCTCCCCTGAGGAGGGAGAGGGTTTCAGTCCTGAGGCAGCAGGTGCAGGGGGAAGGCCAGTAAAGTTAAAATGGTCGTTTGCCTCCATTTCTGTAGGAGGGGAGAGAGAGGGGAAAAAAAACACTGGCGGTTAAACAAGGTTGTATCACCTGGAATCTTCTAGAGGGAATGCCCCCTCCCTTCCCTCTACTTACCCTTCTCCTACCTATGTATTGGGGGGTATTTTGGGAAGTACAGGTTGAAAAAAGAGAAGAGGAGGAGGAAATATACCCGTAACCTGGGCAATGACACTACAGCCTGGAGTAATCGTCCCCCTGTGTAAATCCCACACTCTTTTAACTTCTAGTCCAGGTTATCCCTCTATGTTAGATATGATATTATTAACTCTCTATTATAACATTTAACCTTTTCCATCCTTTTGTTTTCCTTCCCCTCAAGGTAAGGCCAGAGTCCCACTCCCATGGGCCACAGAAGGTTCTCAATGCCATCTTTTTGATAGAAAGCCATGGAGATGGGGGTATTGGCAGAAAAAGCATATTTGATACATATGCTGCTTTGTTTTATTATACTTGAGTTAAATAATTTTCATGTTATCCTATCTGTAGCCCTAGGCATCTAAAGAAGATAGCAATTACCTTGGCAAAGGGATTTGAAAAGAATACTTTTGGGAAAGGTGACCATAATGGCAAAACTCAAATCATCCAGCAACACTTCTATTCTTTTTCATGGTTTTCTAAGAACACAACTCAGAAACATGTCAGAGCTGGAAAACTGACTACAGGGTGTCCCAAGGAATATTATTCTGTTATACCTATTATGGTTACTTCCTAGTGTTTTGGTTTTGTAGCTTAAATGTAAAGAGAGTCATGGAAAGAATAGCTGGACATCTTACATTTGTAAAGGTAGTGGCTCCTTGGAGGGGTAGTACGGTTAAAAAGCTTTTCACCCTGTCCTGAATATGAGGTGATACAGTACTAGGAATGAGAAGAAATAAAGTCCTTGGTTAGAATAGTTGACAAAGATAAACGGGAAGAAACACAGGAAGCAGAAGCCAGAATTATTGGTTAAGTCTGACATAACAATCAGAAACTTATGATGTACTAGTGCATACTAATTTGATATGTAAGAAACATGATCTTAATATAGAAAAAGCAACTCCTTGGGTTACTATGTTTTTAAAAAGGGCAGAAGAATTCAGGTAAAAAGATTTCTTTAACAAGCTCTCAAGATAAGGCAATAAGACCTAGACGATGTTTTAAATAAGCTCTTTTTAAAAAGAATCAGAAGTAAAGCTGTTTAAAGAATGAATAAACTCATTAAGAACAGGGGCGCCTGGGTGGCTCAGTGGGTTAATTGTCTGCCTCTGGCCCAGGTCATGATCCCATAGTCCTGGGATCTAGCCCTGCATTGGGCTCTCTGCTCAGCAGGGAGTCTGCTTCTCCTTCTCCCTCTGCCTCCCCCCCCAACCCCACATGTGCTGTCTCTCTTGTTCCCTCTCTTTCTCAAATAAATAAAATCTTTTAAAAATAAATAAGTAGGGCGCCTGGGTGGCTCAGTTGGTTAAGCGACTGCCTTTGGCTCAGGTGATGATCCTGGAGTCCCGGGATCAAGTCCCACATCGGGCTCCCTGCTCAGCAGGGAGTCTGCTTCTCCCTCTGACCCTCTTCCCTCTCGTGCTCTCATTCTCTCTCTCTCAAATAAATAAAATCTTAAAAAAAAAATAAAGAAAAATAAAAATAAGTAAGTAAATAGATTAAGAAAATGTATGACCACTGCCCAAGGTTTGTAAGAATCATGTTCCTAGGAGCGCCTGGGTGGCTCAGTTGGTTAAGCAACTGCCTTCGGCTCAGGTCATGATCCTGGAGTCCTGGGATCGAGTCCCACCCACATCGGGCTCCCTGCTCGGCGGGGAGTCTGCTTCTCCCTCTGACCCTCCTCCCTCTCACGCTGTCTCTCATTCTCTCTCTCGCAAATAAATAAAATCTTAAAAAAATTAAAAAAAAAAAATCATGTTCCTAAATATGCTAGATAATACAAACTAGACACATTAGGTGTTCCGAACATGAAATATAAACTCTGGGGCGCCTGGGTGGCTCAGTCGTTAAGCGTCTGCCTTTGGCTCAGGTCATGATGCTCCCTGCTCTGCGGGAAGCCTGCTTCTCCCTCTCCCGCTCCCTCTGCTTGTGTTCTCTCTCTCTGTCAAATAAATAAAATTAAAAAAATATATATATATATATAAAACTCTGTATTTATGACATGATAGCTATAAGATTTTCTAGGCTAAATACCCTGTCTTTACCTTTATCAATTTTAACTGAAATTAAAGAAACAATAAAAGCAATTCATATTTTGTTGACATAAGGGGAAAAAGTTTTTACGATCGATTGATTTCCCATCTTCACTCTAAAATAAGCAGCAGAGCTAAACCTGCTGAGCATCAAAGAAACTGGATTTCTACAGAGAAAGACCTCAGGATCTCGGAGGATTTTCCTACAAGGGCCACTCCTCAGTAATAAGGGGTCCGAAAAATAAGCATCTTGGAATAATAAGCTTCTGAAATGAAAGACATCAAGGAGGAAAGTTCATTCCCTAATCCTCTAAGTTAGGTTCCTTCCAAAGCTTACATCATAGAGTAAAGAGGACATGCAATAATTCATTTCGGAAGTCCCAGAAATGCTATTCCTGGAGAGCCAATCTCATCTGATCCCCACCTCTTCCCTCCCCCAGTTTTATGCACAGCCACACCTCCCATGTGTGTGACATATACACCTTCTTTCCTATGTGCACCAAACTATATCCTTCCATTCAATGACAGGCCACAGTTCATTTTTCCATTTTCTATTTGAATCTGTGAGGAAACTAGTGACCTTCTCCTCTCTGCTACTCTGGGAAAGCACAGCATTTCCGGTCTCATAAATTACATACTAATAAGAATAAATGGAGCTCACAGAAATCAGTTAAGTAAAAGGAATGGGAAGTTATCTAGTGCCTGAGGTCTGTTTTCCCACTAGCCTCTACTGAAGGGTCATCAGAACCACAATCACTTCATTTACAAGAAGCTTCCTAGAAATATAAAATACTCTTTGTGCTGTGCAGTGAAAATAGCACAACATAGTGGGCTCTACGTTCAAATCCCAGCTCTACTACCATTAGCTGTGTGACCCTGGACAAGTTACTTAACATTGCTGAGCCTCAGTTTCATCATTAGTAAAAATTTTAGTAGCCACCTCCAGGGCCTGGGAGGATAAAAAGATAATCAGACCCAAAAGATCAAAATATAAATATAATTTAAAACCATTACTGGGGGTGCCTGAGTGGCTCAGTCAGTTAAGTGTCTGACTCTTGATTTTGGCTCAGGTCATGATCTTAGCATCGTGGGATGGAGCCCTGAGTGGCACTCAAGAGCACAGTCTGCTTGAGATTCTCTCTCTCCCTCTGCCTCCTCACTCCCCCCTTTCTCGCCCTCAAATAAATAAAATCTTAAACAACAACAACAAAACCACACACACACACACACACACACCCCAAAACCATTACCAGTACTAAAAACTAGGGGTAATCCTCCCAGCCACACTTTCTTACACTTGACTCTTAATTTCACATGCACTTAACTATGGGATCACTTATGGCAATGCAAAAATGTGGACAGCTATTCTAAGCAATAAACCCAGGGTTATTTCATTTTAACCTTCCTACCCAAGATGCTTTTCACAATAATGCCTGAAGGTAAATTATGACCTCCCATCTATGCCCTCCCTCCTACTAAGGAGAACAGGTAAAGCAAAGGAGAATATCTCCCTTAGAACTAAAAGGATTTTGGCCAAATGAAAAAAGAAATCAGTCAGCGCCCAACCCCCAGAATAGCAGACAGCTCTCATGACCAGGAAGAACAATCAGGCCAGTACCCAGCCCACTCCCGGTAGCGTGTAAATGGATCTCCTAAGAGACTCTATGCTTCATTTGTAAGAATTAAGGGACATTGCTCCTTAAGCTTGAAGCAGTAAAGCCCTTGCCACATGGCCAAATAAGGCTGTTTTTCTCAGTCCCAATTGAAGAGCTACTTACTCTGTGGACCTGTGACATGGTTTTAACACAAAAAGGCTGACAATGCACAAAGTGTTGAAATAACTATTACAGATTTCAACACTGTTGCAGGTGCCCTGGCCAATCCTAACACTCAGACTTCTGAGGCTAACCCCCGAAAGACAAGACACATTAACCATCCAGCCAGACACTTTGGCAGTACCTGTAGCTCTTTGGTTCATTTTTCCCATACAGTATACCAAAGTTCCAAAAATAGAGAGGTTCCTACATTTGGGAGGGGGGAGGGAAGAGGTGGGGAGAGCTTTCAAATGTTTATCTTTATGAAACAGGAAATGCAAATTTTACTGTATAGTAAATAAATACCACTATGTTTTAACTCCATAATTGTGAATATTATAAAGGATATTTCTCAACTCTACTCACCTCTGGATTCATGAACCATACTCTCATATAGTGGTTCCTAACCAGGGGTGATTTTGCCTCTGGGGACATTTAATAATGTTGAAAGGTATATGCTACTGGCATCTAGTAAGTAGAAGCTAGAGATGTTTCTAATGATCCTGCAATACACAAGAGAGCCCACCACAATGAAGAATCACCTGGCTCAAGATATCATTCGTGCCAAGAGTGAAAAATCTTGCTATAATAAAAAGCTGCCCCATTCCCCAGTTCCTATCCCCACACCCTGAGGGAGTTACACAGATGTTCTGAATTTTATATCTCAAAATCCCTTCCTGGCTAAGCTGTCTTCCTCCACCAATAGAGTTCAAAATGCCAACCCATGTCTTCTCCAGCCCATTCTGACAGCCTTGGTAACAATCTGCCCTTGGAACTCTGACAGCCTACAGCATGTACGGACTGAGGCTCATTCTCTCAAAATGTGCTTTCTTTAACCCCCTTTCATAGTCAGGGCAATGAGGTAGGAGAATGACGAAAAAAGACTACATAATCTAAGGGGGGCTACTCAAAGACAATTGCCATGTCTAGCCTGCTCAGAACACAAAGATGATTGTTCTCCATTCTTACTTCTTCCAAACTGTGTAGGTTCTACAGCATCAACTGGATATTATGTTGTACCATTACATGTCCAGCACCTAATTTAGGGCTAACTACATAAAAGAACCAAAGGAAATACCTAGACAAATGAATGAGTAAATCTATCTTTTCTGCCACTGCCAGCTTACTCATCAATAAAAGTTGTGGTTTTTGCTCAGAGAACCCAAAAATTCAGCTTCATTCTTCACAGAGGTGACAATTTCTACAGGGAAGAGAGGCCCCAAATCTTGACATATTTTAGACAGTTGTCCCCTACAGAAAACAAGGCCTAGAAACAAGGAAGTACTGAGAATGTAAGGGGCAGTAAATTTGAGCTCTAAATTTGTAAAATGTTTTGCTTGATTTAACTGAACACTCAAGGTACACAGGTTTTAAAATATGTGTTGACTGAATAAAGGATATATGATGATCTAGATTAGGTTTTCTGCCACAGTTCTCACTAGTCACTTCACTGTCAGAGAAATGGAAATGCCTCTGAAATTACAGGACAGTAAAAGCCACATTCCAGAGGTTGTAACAAGGTTATTTCGCTCGTTCAGCCCTAATTGTTTCTCAGAATTTCAGTTCTAACATTTAAGGACTCAACCCTTTCCTTCAAGAAGATATTCCCCCCTCCCCCCCAAAAAAACCCTGAGCTGAGCAGGCAGGTTAAGAATCCCATTTAGTGAGACAGGTCATGGAGAGTCCAATCCAAGGAAACCAAAAGTAGTGAGACCACCTTTCTCTTAAGAACCCTCATGTCTTAGTTTTTTGATGAATTTTTGGTAAGGTTAGATTATCCTTTGTTTGTAAAATGCCCTCTTAATTATTCTCTGTAACTAGAAGGACAAAACACTAATTAACATATTAACACAATGCTACTTTTACTGCCAGTAACCCAATCTAAGAACAATCTCCAGAGCTCATCAAAGATAGGTTTTCTGTTGCGCAGAATTTCATAAATTTCAAAATGATACGGACCAAAAAGCTGGTTAAAAAAAAAAAAAAGTCCTTCTGGAGGCACCTGGCTAGCTCAGTAGAGCATGCAACTCTTGATCTCCGGCTCCTGAGTTCAAACCCCATGTTGGGTGCAGAGATTATTTTAATAAAGTCCTCTGACCCATCTGCAACTATGCTGATAAAGTATTATTCTTGGGCTGTGGGGAATATGAAAACATCCATATCTCAAGAAACAAATTAGGAAGACTATTTGCCCCAAGAAATACCTCCTGAGTTTTATACTTCATTCTATGTCCTAAGACATAAAAACTTTGGCATTATTGCCTTACTGTACACATCAGAAACAAGGTCAAACATCATACCAATTATTGGACTAACTTCTACATGGTTTAACAGTAAAAGAATGTAATATAGCAAACCACTTCAGAGGTAATCAGAAAGGTCAATGGCAGCAAGACACAGTCACCCTAACAAGCTTTGCTTCTCTCTTGGCAACACCTGATTCCAGAACCACAAGACTGCAAGATGAGCCTCTCAGGGCATTCTAGATTTCTGACTGACTCTGAGGTCAACCCACGTAGTTCTCTCTATACCTCAAAATTATTTCCTTTATGAAGGAAACAAAAACAAAACACTCAGTATTAAGAAATCCACTGCCCTTGGGCGCCTGGGTGGCTCAGTTGGTTAAGCGACTGCCTTCGGCTCAGGTCATGATCCTGGAGTCCCGGGATGGAGTCCGCATCAGGCTCCCTGCTCAGCAGGGAGTCTGCTTCTCCCTCTGACCCTCTTCCCTCTCGTGCTCTCTATCTCTCAAATAAATAAATAAAATCTTTAAAAAAAAAAAAATCCACTGCCCTTTTAGAAAAATGCATCCATTTTACAAGAAGGACATGGAAAAGTTTGCTTCATTCAGCTTTCTGGTTAATCATGTACCAAATCAATCAAAATCTACTTTCTCAAAATCAACTTCTATTTCCTTTAGAGTGGTCTTTTTCTTTCCTTCACTTTTCTTAACCTTCAACAGGGAAAATCAATTTACTATTCTGTCAGGTCCCAATTTAGTAAACAAAGGCTGAAGAAAGGGGAACTTAAAATCAGTGTCAAATCAACCCTATCAGAAAGCAACTCAAAAGAACCAACCAATCAAGCAGAGACAAGAAAAAAGACAATGACATTGGACTTGTTTTTATTACTTCCATAATATCAACCCCAACAGCTCCAGTGAAAACAGCAACGATGCTATCTTAACTGTGATGATGCTGCTGTCACATAATAATACATCCATCTATTCCTACCTGGACATCTAATCTAGGAATCTACAATTCAGGTGGGAGGTTTGTGACTGGAAAATACTAAAAAGATAAAAATGCCAGCCTTAAGCAAGCAGTTTTTAGGATAGTCCAAATGATCTCAATATGTCACTTCTCAAAATATAAAATCCTGTCACCAACTCCTCTAACCAAACCCAGTGTCTAACAAAGTGCCTGGGGACATAGTACAAACAGTCTATCACTATATGCTATAATAGAAATCTTCTGCAGTTATCAGGTGGGAGAAAGGGACAATCTGGAAACATGACTCTGTGCAGAATAGAGGAAAAAAAGCTCACCACTCTCCAAGAAGGGTACAAGAGAGAAGATGTCTTTTATGAAAACTCACATGACAGCTAACTCTCATCAGCTGGTCCTGCAGAAGGTAAACCCTCCAGCACCCTACACCAACTAACAGGCTTCCCACCGGCACTATCCTTAGGCTACAATCACTAGTGAGGAATAAGCCCATCACCTTCACTCTGCAAATCATTCCTACCCCAACACATAAATTCCATTCCCTCTTCTTCCACTTCTCAGAATCTACCCTTTTTCATCTCACAAGCTCACTTGACAAGGTGCTCTGCAATACAGAAAGTTATACACTTAAAGAGTATATTAAGCAGGACCCTAAAAAGTCACTCTCATGCCACTAAAGAGCCCAAGTCTTTCTGGCGGCTCTCTTTGCTCAGTGATTTTGCATCACTAGCATTCAAAGTACAGCGGGGCTGGTGGATGACTGAGTTTGCTTCTCTATGACCTCTAGCTCAAGGAAAAAAAAAAAAATCCAGACGGGGAGGCAGAGATGCTCTGGAGTAGGAGGAGGGGGGAGGTAGATGGGGATTCAGTGAGTCAACTGCAGTGACTACACTTCCAGTTGACAAATGAAGTTTACAAAAAAAAAAAAAAAAAAAAAAGTCGAACGAAAGGACTCCCAAGACCACATGGTTGGCAGGATCCAAGCTTGCCCAGAAGGCCTCAGAAAATGAAACCAAATCTGATTAAAATGGACATTTCAAAACAACAAGAGACGCAGCAGCAAACGCACAGCTGCCATTTCCCGGCCACTTCCTGCAGGAGGCTTGGGGGAGGGGCTGTTTGTGTACAGATGGAGGTGGAAGCTACCCCCCACATCTCCCCCCGAAGGATGCAAATCTCGCACTCCAATAAATCCTACAAAGGATGTCTGCTATTGGCATTGCCCTTCCTCTGAAAACTGGGAACATCAGGAAAGAAAGGTATGATACCGGATCATCTTTTCCGCCACGGAAATGGGGATCCCGATCACCAGCAAGGGGATCCCTCTTTATTCTTCCCTTCAGCCCCTAAAAGCCCAGTCCCCCAAAGGAGTCAGCATCAGCCCTATCAACCCCTTCCCTGGAGTGGGAGACTCCCGAGCCTCGAGGGCCCCAAGCTACGCACAGCACCGCTCCAGCAAGGCCCTCTCCGCTCGCCACGCTCAAGAGAACGTGCACCCCTCACCGAGGGAGACACCCTGAGACCCCTGGAAACCCTTTCTACCTCCACTAGCCACTGCCAAATCGCCCCAATCCCCACAAACGGAATGTTTAAACCGCCCAGGGAACCCCCTCACCCACCCTTCGCACTCGGGCAGTCCCTACCCCCACCCGAGGAGGTGGAGCCCCTCCCGGGGATTCCATCCGAGTCCCCCACAGGAGTCATCACCAGCCAGGCGGCTTCTCCGCCTCCTCCTCGTCGTCGTCGTCGTCGTCGTCGCCGCCGCCGCCGCCGCCGCCACCGCCGTCGTCGCCGGGAGCCTCCACAGCTCCTCCCGCCCCCGCCGCCCCAGCCCGGGTCTTCAGCAGACCCTTCAGCCCCCTTCTCCTCCCAGCCCCTTGGGCAGGGAGACCCCCGCCCAGGCTGGGTCCTAACAGGAAATAAGCTCGAGTCAGCTTCTCGCCCAAGGCGAGGCTCCTGGCAGCACCGGAGCCTCTATTCCCTGAGGGAAGCCTCAGATGAAAGCGGGGCTCCCTCCCCTCAGGCCCCCAGCCACAGACCCAACAGACCTGAGGCGGCGGCGTCCAGCCCGGCTCGGGGCTTGTCTCTCCCCGGGGGACGGGTGGTTCACATGGCCGCGCTCCGGGCGCCAGGAGGGGAGGGGAACCGCGGGGGAGGGGGTCTGGGGTCCGGGAGGGGGGAGGGGGACGCGGCTCAACCGCGGGGCCCGAGCGGAGCCAACATGGCCGGCGGGGGAGGAGTGAGCCGAAGCCGGAGGGGGCGGGGAAGCTGCGGCCGAGAGAGAGCCGCCCTCCTCGGCCTCCATCACCGGGTCCTAGCGCCGGGCATCTTCGCTCCCCCGACCCGGATCTGGGTCCTAGCGCCGCGGTGTCCCCTAGCCTACCCGACAGCTCCCTCTGCCTAGTCTCATTGTCGCCGGTAGTCCTGTTTCACACTGAGCAAACTGAAAGGCGTGTCATGCATGATCCCAAAGGTTACCCTAAAAGACTAGACCAAAATTTTAGGACCAAGGCATGTGCCATTCCCCTAACGGGTGGGGGTAGAGGTGGAGGTGAAAATTTCAAGGGCAGTTATTTCCCAGGCTGGGTAGTTGGAAGGTGGGAGTGTAGACGCGGAAAGGTTAGTCAAGAAAGTTCAGTACTGAAAAGGGGTGGAGAAAGGCAAGGGCCTGCAGGATCTGCTGCCCACTCACCTCTGTCCCGTGGGGGCAGCCTCCTCCTGCTGGATCACTACTTTCCCAGCGACATCTGCAGGGTTCTGGGGGTCGGGAAGACTCCTGTGCGTAGGAAAAGGAAGCTCGGCTCTGGAACCGGACAAGGAAGACCTGAGTCTAACCTACGACTGGTCAGACTGGCAGGGGATTAGCCAAAACTGACACAGCAAATAAGATGTCCCAAATGTCTACCTATTCTATAACCCCAACACTTTTTTTTTTTTAAGAGATTTTTATTTGTTTGACAGAGAGAGACACAGCGAGAGAGGGAACACAAGCAGGGGGAGTGGGAGAAGGAGAAGCAGGCTTCCCGCTAAGCAGGGAGCCCGATGGGGGGCTCGATCCCAGGACCCTGGGATCATGACCCGAGCCGAAGGCAGACGCTTAACGACTGAGCCACCCAGGCGCCCCCCCCCAATACTTTTTTTGATAGGGCTAAATGACTGTGTGAAATCTGAGAACAGGAAAGAAAAAACTAGCAGAGAACTAGAGTTTGGCTCTCATCTAAAATGTCTATTGTGGGGCCCCACGATGGAAAACAGTGTCTATATACATAATGTTAGAATTTAGAAAATTTCTAGCTCAACCTGCTCTGGTTTGGCAGATGAAGAAATTAAGGCCCAGAGAGGTTAACAGACTTGTTCAAGGTCAAATAGTGGATAAAATGTGACTAGAAACCAGGTCTGTAACTCAACAGACTTTGCAGACTTCAAGATAATTCCTATTCAATGCGATGCAGTTCTACAAACAATTGCAAAACTCAGGCTGAATATTCTGGAAGAGGAACAGAGTGTGGATAATGAAACTCTGGCAGGTTGAAGGGTCAACAAACACCTTTCCCTTTGGGGGTCTGGAGAGGAAGAAAATCTGAAAACTGGATGGGGATAGGGCAAGGCAGGGCCAAATACATCAGTCTGGATTGGATTTCCTTACTCCACGGAGGAGTGGGTTCTTCCTCAATTTTGCGAACAGACTCTACTCCCCACTACAAATGGCTCAGAGAAGCTAATGAAGAAGCGAGCTTCAGCAAAGCCTTAAAGTGTGTGGGCCAGAAGGAAGAGGCTAAGAGGGTTAGAAGGGTTTCTCTCCCGTTCCTGAGAAAAGTAGATTACCAGGGGAAGGAGTAGACAGGTATAAATCAAAACCCTTCTCTCCTCCCTAAGTAACAGATCTATAGGTCACCGTTGAGAAAAAAATAAAGACCCTAACAGCCTACTGACCTTAAGTTTCTGAGTTAAGTGGGGGCCACACTCAGGGGATAGGGGTCCTTCCTTCTGGAGAAAGCAGGGATCGAGCAAACTTCAGCTAAGGAATTCCCCACCTTCTCCAGAATAAAAAATAATAAAGGGAGATGAAGAGCTCAGGGATTTAAAGTGGCTTCCTAAAGGGCCAGGGAAGAGAACTAGTATCTCTTTTTTCTGTTCCCTTTTCCAGGGCAGATGAGGGATAATCTTCCTCCCTCCCGCCCCCAATCGTAGAGCTGGCCAGTCAAGAGACGAGAGGCGGGGGAGGAGCCTGCGCCCGTCAGACGGGTGTAGCCACGCCCCTTCCCCCACCACCACACACCCACACACACCCACCCGCTGGCTCCACTACGCTCCGGAAGAGCCGGTTACTCCTGTGCCCCACTGACTGCCCCCACCCCTTCCGAGCCCAAGGCCTAGTCTCCAGGGAAACCTCTAGGACTATCCCAGCCAGGAGCGGTAGGGAAGAGGGGTGTTGGATAGGAGGGCCACCTGGGATTAGAAATGAAAGTGGGGCAGGATCCGTTCTTCCCATCTGGTGCAGAAAGACTTCAATTACCTTTCTCCCTGAAGGAGACCCCCTCCTCATCCCATCTAACCAGAGATCTCCCTTGTTCTTTAAGCAAGGATGAGGGCAGGGTGTCAATATGCCCAACAGCTGGGTATTTACTTCTAGTCAGAAGCCACCCCAGGCAGCAGCTGTGCTTCTCCCCCCATCCAGACGACAGAGGGCAGACTGACCCCATATGTCCCCAAACATTCCTCAGTCCCATCAGATGTGGCCAATCACCCACCCCATCACCCTTTAGGAAGCTACTAGAAAGGGGAAGAAGGGGCAAATGGTCATCTTTTCAGCCACTTGTGAGAAGGATATCTAGGGAATACTCTGAACCTCTCTCCAGCCAGGCCAGTGGGCGGATAATGAAGAAAATGAGAAGGGAGAAATTAGCACCTGCTCCCCCTTTCTCACCCTCCCTGTGTTTCTGCTGCACCACCCTGACTCTGGGGTCAGCTGCCACAGTGCCTGGCTCCACTCTGAAGCCAGATGGCTGGGGCTGGGAGGGGGAAGAAAGAGAAAGGGAGAAAGAAGGGGATTCGTTTGCATCCCTTTACCTCCCACTCTCCCTCCCTCTCCCCCTCCAGATACTCCTGGAATTTACCCCCAACACCACAGCCGACCACCCCTCTCCTCCACCCAGCTCTCTTCCAGGCCATGGAACATGACTCAAGAGTCTGAAACAAATCCAGACACCCTGTCCCCTCATTCTGGAGTGGAGGATTGAGAGGGGGAAGGATGAAAGCATGAGAAAAGGGGCAGAGCTAGGGGCACAGCTGGACTTGGAGGGGGAATTCCTCAGTAGAGGTGAGGTAATTATTAAAGATTTTCCCTGCCCTCCCTGGCTGAATGGTTTATAGTGTTAATAGGGTCTAGTAGGGAGATATCCCTCAACCCCCTAACCATTCCAACTTGCTCCCTTCCCTCTCCAGGTTCCTCCAAAATAGCCTCCTCCCCCTCTATATTTTGGGGAGGCTAGATTCTCCTCTAACACATCAAAAGGACCATAAACCCTCCTCCTCTCCAAGTTGGTATGTGTCCCCTCAGATTCACCCACAGACCTGTTTCAAACTCCCCAATGAGCTTCTCCATGGTAGTCTTAGATGCGGCAGCAGGAGAAAGCCCTCAGGAGTGGGGACCCCCTTTGCATCTGAGCAGAGAAGGTTAAGATTCCCTCTCTTCTCCCAGCACCCTAACACCTTTAGAGGCTGAGTTCCAGTCCCTCACCCACTATCTCCCAACAGACCCTTAAGCCCAGAATCACAAGATTCTGGGTGTGCCCCCCTCCCCCCTCCATTCCCTGACTCTGGAGTAGGAGTGTTTCTAAGCTGGACCGGCCCACCCCAGGTCCAAGAAGAGGGGTTTTCCCACCAGGGCTGCTCGGCGGGTGCTGAGGTCTGACCCCCAAACTCCAGGAGAGGTGGGGTGGGGTGAGAGCTACAGAGAAGCTTTAGATGGGGCTTAGTTGAACTTGAAGGTCTAAACGGAGCAAGGCCCGAAAGTGTCTATAGGCTATGCTAAACCTCCAACCCCCACTTACTACGGGGAAGGGAGAGGAGTTGGGGTGGCGGTTATTCCCCCTCCCATTGGAGGTTAGGATGGCGTGGGAAAGCTCTGGATCCAGAGGGGAGGAGGCGAAACCCAGACCGCGGGAGAATTTTCTGGCGAGGAAGGCGCGGGGGAGGGGGAGATCCTGGGTCTAGAATGGGAGGGGTACTCGGGAGAGGTTGGCGGAGAGGCGTGAGAAGCCTCCGGATTCCGGTCGCAGAGGACAGGGGAGAAATGGGCGAGTAGATAGTGCGGGGGAGAGAGGAAGGGCAGCTCCCGCAGGGGGAGAGTCAGATCCTGAGTCTCGGGCAGCGGGCATCCCCGGGGCAGGGGACCACAGGAGCGGCCCTGCCCGGGGACTCTGGTCCGGGGCGGGGGTGCCGGGCCTCACCTGGAGCAGGGCCGGGCCGCGGGCGGCGGCGGCGGTGCAGGTGGCCCGAGCCGGGTGGCGGCGGCGCCTCCTCCCCCAGCCCTGGGCCGCCGGCGGAGTGTTGGAGGGGGTGGGGGGTGGCACTTAAAGGGGCAGGAACTACTGGGGTAGGGACAAGCGCTTGGGTAAGGCTGTCGCGAAGAATCCGCTGGGGGAGGGGGAAACGGGTGGCGTCTCCTAGGGGCCAGAACCAGGAAGGATCCCAGATGGAGGAAGAGAGGAGATCCCAGGAAGACGACAAACTTCTCTGGTGAAGTGGGGGAGGGTGGTGGGTCCGAACTGCAGGACTTGGAAGAGAGCTCCGCCCGCGCTCTCGGGACTCCGGCAAAGATCTCACAAAGAAGAGTCCCAAGGACGCCAAGGAGGAGTGGGGGTGCCGGAGGAAGGCCGCGGCTGCTGGGGGTAACGCACAGCGACCCTGCTAGGTGAACAGGTTCCCTGGTTTTCAGCTCCACAAGGCCCCATTCCCTACAGCTGTGGAAAGGCACAGCCTCCTTCCCCCAGCACTACCCAAGTTTAAAAGCCTCTGGAATCAGGGAGCCACGAGGGCGAAGACCTCCTAGGCCTTTCAACCTCAATCCTGTTTCTCACTCAGTGTTAGTTACTGGAGCTTGGGGGGGCCGCCAGTAGCAACCCTAGTGGGACTGCTGTGGGACCGTGAGAATCGGCTTTATTTCAGTTTTCCCCCAACCACCACCAGCCTTGCAGCAACCTCTGGGGCAACAGGAAGCAGCTGCTCAGTGCAGCCCCCACCTGGTGGTGGGTCGCGGTGGGGGAGGAGAGAAGACAGGGACTTAAAAGGCCTGGGAGAAAATAAGGGGAGGAGGGGCACCTTAAAAATCCTCCAACGCAACAAAAAGTGGGTTTTACTTTTTGGGGGGAGGCTAGCAGTGAATACTGTAAAATATTACTTGAATGTCAGCAGCTTAAACGGGGAGGAGCAAGGGGTTGGGGCGTGGGGTGGGACGGTGAGGTGGGGGGGGAAGCCTCCACCTAAGGTGCACAGTCTCAGGCTCTTCCTGGGAACCGGAGCTTGTCAGTGCTCTTGATCCCTTGGTCCGCAGACTCACCACCTGAGCCCTGTGCCCCTATAGACCCGTGTTCCCTTCTTCACCCCCCAAAAGAGCAAAGGTTAGGCCCCACCCCTGCTGAGTCAGCCAGGGAGGGAGGTAGGCATCCTTCAGGCCTTCCCCGGGGGCCGGTCCTCATACTTACCCATGTCCAG